GGGGGGTCACCCGTGGGGGGGCCCCCCCCCCCCCCCCCCCCTACGAAAATTTAGAGCCTTTCATTGTAATGATAGATTAAGCAATCATTTTGAGAATAAGCTATTCGGTACACTATACAAATTTAATACGATAAAAGGCGATAGTCAATATTCATGTGTTCTTTGAACTTTTTAACATGTATAATAATACATAAATATACAGCAATTAGTGTAAAATCAGAGCAATGCATATCTTCAAAAAGCTAACAGAGAAAAGAATGTTTAATATAATTACGTATTGTGAAGTATAAATACTTTTACACACACATTTCGATCGAATCACACTCTTGTTCATCAGTACACGACGTAAAGCGTAGATTATAATGGACAATGGTAAAAGAAAAACTCTTGATTCTTATTTTTTTTTATCTACTCAAAAAAAAAGTAAATCTCCTCACGAACAATCAAATGATGCTGATAATGAAAATGCTATTACACAATCATTCGATTCACATCCATCTCGTGTTACTTTTGATATTAATGAGCCTGTTGAAACACCATCAATAATGTTGTCCCAAAACATCAATAGTGAAAATCAGAAGAATGTACAACATGCAGAAAAAAACAATAATAAAACAATTGGTGATGTTGTTGATGTTAGTATTTCATGTCAAGATCCACCTGCTCAACCTAAACTCAGCTCATATCCAAAAAACCATGAAAACAGATCATTTGTGGCAAAGTGGTACGATGGAAGACCATGGTTAGAATACTCCATTGAGAAAGATGGTAGTTACTGTTATTATTGCCGGCATTTTGGTGTACCAACATCATCATCAAATAAAAAAACTCAAACTGATGGGTTCATCAATAATGGATTCAAAAACTGGAAAAAAGCTCTTGATAAATCGAAAGGGTTTGATCAACATCTAAAACGTTATGGTCATATTTTAGCAGCAAGTAACTATGCTGCTTATCAACAACGAGAGCAATCACAATCCAATGTTATACATATGTTAGAAAATGGTCGCGTTGAACAAATACGTCGGAATCGGCAACGGCTGATGAAAATTGCATCTGCCTTGTTACTATGCGCGAAGCAAGGAATTGGAATCAGGGGACATGATGAAAGGGAAATGTAAGCGTACCAGATTTTATATCTACTATGAATATCAATTTGTTTTGTTGTATAATATTTCCTCTATAGTTCGCAAAATAGAAGCAATTTTCTGGAAATACTTCAATGGGCTTCTTCAACCGATCCAATCGTCAAATCAATCTTTGAAGACAACACAGGCAACTCGACGTACCTTTCACCAAGGGTTCAAAATGAACTAATTAAAATTATGGCCGAACACACAAAACGACAAATTACAGAAAGCGTGATGATCTTGTATTAGATAGATTGATTTCATAATAAAAAATGACTTTCTCGTATAGATTAAAGGGAATGTGTTCTCGTTATTGGCCGATGAGAGTCGTGATACTAGTGGTCACGAACAACTCTCAATTGTCGTACGAGTAGTGGTACCAATATCTACAAATGGTAATAAAAATGTTATTCAAGAATACTTCCTTGGATTGGTTCGATTACATGAATTCGATGCTCCAACATTATCGGATGAGATTGCTAATTATTTAATTAAGTGTGGTATTGAATTAAAATCATGCATTTCACAGTGTTACGATGGGTAACAATTCATTTTTACAAACAATTGCGTAACACATAATTGCAATGGATTTATCAATTTTTTTGTAGGGCATCGGTTATGTCTGGTAAATGCGCTGGTATACAATCGATTCTTCGTAAAAATCATATGCCAAATGGTATTTACATACATTGTCATGCGCATAAATTGAATCCTGTCATTGTCGATGTTAGTAAGATCGTAAAATATATTAACGAATTTTATCAAATTGTTTCAAAAATTCATTCTTATTTCACCTCATCATCAGTAACCAATGAGTATTATCAGATAGCGCAACAAAAGTTAGCACTAAGTACGTTCATTTCTTGAAGAATTATAGCATATCGCTATTTTTATTTTTTAGCTACTACTTTAAAACTAAAGACATGGTTTGATATTAGATGGGACTCGCGGTGGAGTTCAATTAATGCTATCATGCTCAATTATGAATCAATTATTCTGCACTTAATAATCTTATTGAAGAAGGAGATCATCGTTCCATTGATGCAAGAGGTATACTATCGGCTATGGAAGAATCAATTTTCATTGTAACACTGTTGATATTAAATAAATTACTTGGATCCATCAAAATTTTATCAGATCAATTGAAAGGTGGCGAAAACTGCAATGCATTTTTACGAAAGAATTTCTTTTCTTTACTTCAAGTGATTTTCTTCTCTTTTTAGGTGAATCGATCGATTATACTGAAAGCCAATCTTTAATTAAATCTGTAATTGAGCAATTCGAATATGATCGAAATGAATCATCATTTTAAATCATTTATTGTGATGTTTTAAATTTTGCTAAGAAGTATGGTATCGATATGAATCGGAAATCAAAACATCGTCGAGCAAATATAATACCAACTCGTTTTAAAGATGCATTTATAACAAGTACTATAGGACATCGACAAGAAATTACAAGTGAATATGGCTATCGTGATAATATATATTATTCATTGATCGATGCAATCTTAATCGAAATGCGTGATCGCTTTTCACCTTCAAATATTGCTTTATTATCAAGTTTGTCATCGATATCTCCACAAAATAAAAACTTTTTAAATTATGATTTATTATTGCCTTTGTCTAGTCATATCAATTGTGATCGAAATTATTTGTTTAATGAAATACAAGTTCTGAAGCCAATGTTAGACAATAAAAACTTATCTAGTATTAGTGAATTATACCATGATTTAATGCCATTACAACAAGCATTTCCTAATATGATGTTAATGATTAAAGCTGCGCTAACTATTCCGGTATCATCTTCAACATGTGAGCGTGTATTTTCAAAAATGAAATTAATTAAAACACGTATAAGGACGACAATGGCGGACGAATGACTAAGTGATCTTTGCATTTTAGCGATTGAACGTGATTTTCAAATGGATTACGAACAAGTTATTGATCAATTTTCGATTAGTCATAACAATAGTAGAATCATGCTGCGTTAACTACATTTGTTTTTATGTGTGATTTGTTTTGCTTGTTCTTAATAAATAATTGAATATTTGAACTTAATTATTGTTTTTGCATTGTTCAAGCAGAACTCAAGTAATTATCATTCAACTTCTAAAAATTGGGGGCCGTGCCCCCCCCCCCCTACGAAAATTGTCTGGTTACGCCCCTAGTGTTAACGCGAAAAGCTTAACACTTAATATTAAATTAACGTTAAGTACCACCCCTAAACGACCGTTGAAGACCCTTCTTCATGAATACCACTTATCCCAAGCATGTCGAAGTCTCATTCGTCGCAATTTACCAAGAAAGTCCTTGAAATATCGTTCTATTTATGAAAAACATCAAGGACACTTCGCAATACCTCCAATAAGAGGTATTGACTAAAAAGGATTTTTCAAGATCCTTTTTGACAAAAGCGAATGAATGCTGCTTTCAAACACCTCAAATGGCAGGTAATGAATTAATAAGACCTTTAACCGGCTTCCCCGATCGATTTCGAGGAAAGAGTCTTCGAAATACTTGAAGTTTGTAGTGGTGAGCTTTGGATCTCTTCGGGTCTGCTATGGTATAGTGAATGATTGTGAAGCAGTGTGTGAGGTTATTGGTTTTGTGGAAACTGGCTGATAATTTAGTTAGTTGGAGATGCGACTATCCAAGATGAGGAGGTGTGGCGATGTCAGGAAATTTGCGGATGATCTCAGGAAGATTGGAACTTTCGAGATTTTCCCAGGTGGAATCGGTCGAATTTCGTTAGTTCCGTCGGGTGTTCCGTTTGTTTTCCTTGTGATCACGGGTCGCTTCCGGGAATTTTTTCCAATCGTTACGGTGGCGGGAACAGTGCGGAATACTCCGGTTACATTACGGTGATTTCCAAACGGAATACTGCTTCCGCCTTCCGGATAATTTTCCAGTCCGCTTCCGGTTGGAATATCCTTGGAAATCACCGGAAGTATCGGGAAATTACGCCGTTTTCTTCCGTTTCCGGAGTCGTGAATCATCGACCTGGGTATGTATGTTGAATAAAACGTTAATGTTTGAACCTCAACGTCAGTGCTACTGTGTCTACAATGTATTTCTCTATGATGTATCGACTGTTTATCTTATCTCGTTTCAATTGAATATAGTGAACTAAAATAGAATAATCGTTATTTAAAAAACAGTATTTTCTGTTAATGCAAAGATATATGTGATAATATCGATAATATATTTTTATCAAAACTCTACAAATAAGCTCACTTTTTCTGGTACGTACGTAAGAGTTAGAACCCGCTGAGGTTCATGACGTCAATATAGAAACATCTCAAGAAAAATAGGAGAACATATCCGATCAAGGAAATACAACAAAAGAAAGAAAATGTTAACCTGGAGTGTGAGAAATGCGAAGAACGGGAGGGATGATGCAAGAAAATGAAAGAAACATTTGAAAATGTCAACGATATATCGTTTAGAGCTTTATTTGACAAAACGGAATACATGTATAGGAAAGCTTTTATAACTTTCCTTTCCTTTCCTTTCCTTTCCTTTCCTTTCGAAAAAATAAAATGGAAATGGAAGTGCCACTACCAGATATGAAAGAAACATTCTCAATGAAATAACGATTGTAAAATGAGTAGATGAGAACTTGAATGTACTGATTTAACTATAATACGCTTTATTACAATATTGATTTGAAATAAGAAATATATTCGATTTATAGATTTTAACGATTTCAAATTTATCTTAATCCAATGAAGGTAAAATGTTGAACATGACACTTAAAATGATCATTGATTGACTTTCTATACTAGTTGCATACTACATACCATTTACTATGATGTCATGTCTCGTTGTATTGTATATATTTGCGTTTCTCTACTGTTCGATACGCATGAAAGATCATTATTACTATCAAAAATAAATGTATATGAACTATTTCTATTCGTTTCTATTGGCTTAAAATTATTTCTTGACAGTGACTAGAAAAATTGAAATATTAAAAATACGACTATGATGATAATTTAGAGAGAAAAAAATGTTTCATAGACGCCGCCATTTACGTCGTAGTTGTATTCTATGTGTTGTATTATCCTTATTGATATTTACAATCTATTCTGCCTTTTTTTCTACTTTTTCATTTGCACCAAACTTGTCAAACAGCACACAATCACCAGTGTTTGCGTCGGCACGAACTGTTTCTTCACAGAGTACTCTAAGGTAAATAATACAGTTCAAAAATATTTTTCTTAATCTTCAAATATTTACATACTTTTTTCATGAAATAGATAAATAAATTCTAAAATAATTTCACATTGATATAGGAATGGGAGCATACCAGATATATTTGAATTGTCGTTATGGCGTCTTATTCTGACGGGTGGCAAAGGTAATCAGACTCTATGCGAAACTCCTTCTCAATATCGTTCTATTGTTAATGCTTACTGTCGAGCACACAATAGAGAAAATTGTTCTATGATTCCATGTACTCTTATTTATCTTACTGATGAATTTACAACAAATATCGAATGTCTTCGTGGTGGAAAATTTGCTACTGGAATACAACCGGATTGGGTGTGTCGAAAAAGCCCAGCATTAGAATTATTTTCTAATTCGAATCGAAAACCATCGATATGTGCTGAAGCATATACTACATTAACCGCTGAATTATATGGTCAAGCATTAGCACCATATCGTGATGAAGAAACATCCAAGTGGGGTTTAACATTGGAAGGTGAATCGATAGGATATTATCCTTCTGTTGCGAGTAAAAAACGAGTTTTATCATTGTTTGATATTTCTCTTGGATATGATCGACGATTTTTTGATCTTATTACGGATAAACATTTAACTGATTATGTAAATAAAATTACCAATAAACACAATCAACGGTTAACAATCAACCAAATTCTTAGAAAAAAAGTTAAAGGTTTGTTGGATTTCATACTTTTGTCAAAATAAAAGCCACTATACAATATATAACGTAGAATATAATTTAGTAGATCAAATCACTTGAAATAGAGACGTTTTTAAAATGACGATTTATACAAAAATGAAAAACGAAAATTTTCTAAAAAAATTAAATGAGTCATTTTCTCTGTATTCATTTTTTTTGAAACCAGAGAAATAGGCAACAAATAAAATTAACTTTGATTAATTGCAACCAAAACCAAACTAAGAAAGCTATATTTTAAATATTTGTTTAATAGAATTTATTGTTTAGAACGAGCACCTATTCTGTGGATAAATAGCAATTGTGATACTCCATCAAATCGTACTGCATATATGCTTGAATTAATGCGTTATATTTCTGTTGATGTTCGTGGTAAATGTGGAAATCCGTCTTGGAATCAATCATCTACTCTATCGGATCCTAAATATTTTGCTATAGAAAAAACAACTCTTGCTAGTGAATATCTGTTTACTATAGCCATTGAAAATAGTTTAGAATATGATTATGTTACGGAAAAATTATGGCAACCATTGGCTGCTGGAAGTGTTCCTCTTTATTTAGGTGCACCAAATATTGATGAATGGCTTCCCTGTTATGATTATTCATGTATTATTAATTTGAGAAATTTTACATCAGTTGAAGATGTTGCTAATTTAATTCGCAGTCTTACACGAAATAGAACACGTTATATTGAGTATCATCAATGGAGACGTGAAAAACATGTCAGACCAAGTTTTATTACTATGACTGATTATTTTCAAGAAGCAAATAAACATTCAATCGAATGTCTTATTTGTGATATGGTTCATCGAAATGATCACGGTACAACTAGACGAAAATTATTGGCAGCTAATAATCCATTCAATGATACATTTCCTTCTTTATCTTAACAATCATATTATTTACATTTTACCAAGAAATAATAAGAGAATATCAAGATTTATCTCTTTTGATAAAAAAATTATATTTGTACTCGATGTGTTTTAAAGAAAAATTCTAAGTGTAATAAATCAAAGAACATAGTGAAACTGTGCTTTTGAAAACAATAGTTTTGTTTAAGCAACGGCAACCGATCTAAAATAGCAGACAATAATCTAATAGTAAATCTGCGGAGAAAAAAAATTATCTTATGTGAATAAATTTTCTGAAATATTTGAAAGAAATAAAATCGAATGAAATGTGTAATAAAAAAACAATTTGTTATTGTCCCCATCCAATAGAAATTTTCTAAAGATTTTTCTTTGATCTTTCTATTCAACACGTTTATGCATTTTTTGGAGAGTAGAGAAATTGGATTCTATTTGATTTGCGAAGTTTATTTTCCAATAGACTAAACTATCAGAAAATTGATTGATGTTTTATTCAATGATTTACTGGCTGATGATGAAAAAACGATTCTTATTTTTTACTGGTTATTTCTAAATGCACTGTGCGAATATTCTTTTTTTTATAACTGGGCCGAATATTAAGATTGATATATATTTGGAATCAATGGAGTTCCAGGAACAATTTCTCATAACTTTTAGGCTGACCATTTTCGAAAAACAATTAGTAGATGACGCACTGTGCTTATCAACTATAGGTATGGGTGAGATAAATGAAGGCTTTTGAAACTTATTCGCACGTAATATCTGAAGATTTGAGATAATTTATCTACCGACACCGCTTTTCACGGCCGCTGAAACCATCTATACATACCACATGGACTATTTTGGCCTAGTTTCCGGACTTTGATTTCCATGGCAACGATGACGCCAGTTATGATACCAAAAATATCTTGAAAGTGAAAAATGGCCAAGGGAAAAATATGATATTATTACGTTTTGAAATGTGTCTGATTTTTTTCTGTGCAATTAGTTTTTTATTTGCCCCAGATTTAAAAACTAACTTAAAAGTGCATAAGTGAATTCATTTTTAGAAATGATGACATGAACCATTCACGTCAGTCAGTAGAACACAATATCGTACAAATACTATTGAACAAAGAATGTCAGAATCTCACAGAGATTATAATAAATCGCCAAATACACTTCCAAGTAACAATTATCGCAATAGTAACAATGAAACTGAACGATATAATCGAAAAAGATCACATCTAGAAATGTAGTTTTTCATTTTGATTATTTCTTTTAATTTCATTTTGATTATTATCCTTTAAGGGAAAATATTGATGCGAAAGTTTATGTTGGCAATGTTTCAACTGAAAAAGTTAGCGATGAAGAATTACTGAATTTCTTCAAACCATTTGGAAAAATTGCAGGTATGACATTTTATTGTGATTTCGAATGGTTCTTCTTTAGCTGAACTATTTAGATATACGAGTATTTAAAGATCATATTTATGTTCAATATAATCGAGTTGATGATGCTAAAAAGTTAATTGAAGAAGCACAAATGCCTTTAATACTGAAAGGAAAAAAACTAAGTAAAAAAAGAACTTTCAAAAATCAGTGAAGATAATATTTAGTGTATTAAGATATTTTACCGGCAAGATATATGAGGTCAAAAAGTTCAAAATCCTCTTCAACAGATAGATCATCGAAAAAGTAGCTACTTTATTTATTCTTATTAGTTAATAAAATAAATTTCATTATAATTAAGAAGTCATGAAAGAACATTTCACCAACACTCGTCAAATTATGAAATATCTCGGAAAAGATTTTCAACACGTGCAAGATCAAATTTTAATTCTAATATGTAATTTAACGAAATTTTGTTTTTTTTTTCATGTGGGAAAATTATGAAATTAAAAAAACTTTAGTAATGGAATCGAATCAGATATCCATGATCGAATGAATATATCACTATCAAGTTCTGATCTTTGTCGAACTAGTAATGACTCAACATCTCGAAATCATCAATTACCATATACAGTTTTAACTGAACCTAAAAATCAGAATGATTTAGTTGACTGTCAAATAATTATTGTTAATAATCGACAAAGGTTCTATTCAACAGCATAAAAAGTAAAGAAAAACATTTTTGTTTTATTTTATAGAGCTTATGCTGAAGAAATCGAATCTCGTTTTTGTTCTCATGGTCTGTTGACATCCGTAATACTTCTTCGAGAAGATTATACTTTAATAGAGGCTATTGCGAATGCTGCTCGTTTACAATGCTTATATGGAGTTATTGCAATGCCTATGCATGAAGAACGACGAACTGCTTCTTTTCACATTCTCTATGGACAAACAGAAGGTAAAAACATTGTTATTCAACATATCTAGAAAAATCGAAACTCATGAAATGTGAGACAATATCATCATAGCAATTAACGATAACACCGTATTGTTTCAACTAAGATCATATTTCTAGTATGGTTAACAATTAAAGATTTAAATGAAGGCAAATCATTGACATCGCTTCATCGACACTACTCATCCTAGTAATATTAGAACTAATCAAAATCAATTCTATTGTTAATTAATTGATGACTGAGAAATTTCTAAATTGATTTTAGACGTGACGAAAAGACTTGTTTTTCTTAACAATAATGGAATTTTAAATAAATTTTTATCAAATCATTTTTGAAAGTCACTTATATGGTTTTATTTGATTGAAACATTAAACTTATAAATATTTAGAATTCATTTATACAATCGACTTCTTTGATATACAAAGTTGTCAATTCAACTTTATCACTGAGAATAGATCTGGCAGATCTTCCTTTTTAGTTTATTTTTATTCATTAACTATAACTGACAATCATTATTCGAGGTTTTCATCAAGGATAGATTAGTTGTTCGTGTCTGCATTCATTGTATGTTACAGATATTATAATTGTTGTTTGGTAGTATTAGATCATTCCTATTTGTAACTGAAAATAAAGTCTAAAATGTTTAATAGTTTGCAACTAAAGAAACAAGGACGTTAATCAAGTTAACAATGATTAATATAAGTGGTCACTTCTCATTTCATAGAAAACACATCGACTATTCGATAACTAGTAATTGATCAGGATTACCACGTATAGATAAATGAACTGTATTAAACCAATTGTTTATCTTTGGAAAAATAGTAGTTTTATTGCAAGGAGGAAAAAATTTATTTTTACCTATCGTAGATAGAAGTGAAAGTAAAAGTCATCATTACAACACTTTAACTCGAATTATCTTCATATGGAACATTTAACTCCCTAAAGTCGATTAGAAGATCGCTTAACATAAACAAAATAAAGTTTTTTTCGTCTAGTCAACATTCACAATCTGAAAAGTGGTTAAAATTTATAAAGACTGAATCTTTATCTTATATTCTCATACATTTTATGCGTCATTCGAATCCATAATTAGTTTTATATTAAAATTTAGAAAATATTCGAAAATAAAAATTATATATTTTAGAACATCGTAATTTAACATTGGATGATGGTATTCACATAATAATAACTAATTTTATTTCATATAAAGAACGTTTACATAATGAAGAAATGAATTCATATAATGAAAATAATGATTCAATTGTTTATTCTGAAACTAATGTACCATATGAATATTCTCATCCGTCAAATGATACGATCCAAGAAAATTTAAGTCCACCAATGTTAACTCTTGGTGACAGATTACCATTATCAATGTTATTGTGTCTTTTGGCTGATGGAAGACAATTAACATTAGAAGAAATTGATCGTGTACTCGTTTATTTACTTGAAAAAAAAGCTAAAATGTTAACATTACCTGCAGGTACATTGCCTCCTTTGCCTGCACAATATGCAACAATAAATGCATTCAATCATCAAACAGGTGCTTTGATTAATTTTTTGAAATTGTAACAATATTCAGAGTAATATACTTCCTAATACAGAGAGCCATTTTTATTAATAATCATCCAGCAAATATTTTGATTCATCTAAAAAGAATATTCGATCATCACTAGTAATCAATAAAGCAACAGATTTTTATGTGAAAAAGATAGTTTCAATAGAGAAGAGAAAATTAAGATAAAATATTTTATCATTTATTGTCACAAACATATTTTTGTCTATTGAAATTCATTAAGATTTTAAGAATATGTTTATTATATTTTTATCTCAGTTTAGAATTGAGACTTTCGATTTATTGATTAATTCATTTGTTCCACCAATATGACTTTTTTTTTTGAAAAAGGCTCGGGAATTGTGTCAGACACAAGATCCGTTTCAGTGTCAGATTTATCATTTGGAAAATCGTCTAGTTCTTCAATGGACGTATCTTCATCGATTGCTGAACAAATTCGTCAAATATTATCTACAAACATAGTCAAATCAAATATTGCAACTGTAGAAACCAATTCACAATCTGTCATGACAAAAACTTCGTCCGATAAATTACTCAATATTGTCAAAGTGGAAAATACAAATATTTTACAATCAAATAATAATGTTACAGACGCAGCAAAAGAATATGTTCAACAACAGCAACAGAAAACACAATCTTCTTTCTCGCGTCCAAAAGTTGAAGCAGTACCTGTTGTATCATCTGTATTTAATTATGCATCACCATCAGTAACGACAACTGGATCTTTGACTTCATTTGCTGCACCAAATTTTTCATCTTACAACTCAATAAGCTCATCTTTACCATTTAATTCTGCTTTAAAAGAAACATCATCAGTAACAGCTCCGAATTTCGTTTCTCAACCTTCTCAATATTTCTATCCAATGTCATCACATACTCTTTATCAGTCTCCGTTAAACGCAACAGTAACTGATCCAACAGTTGGCATGTTCCAAGCATATTCCCAATTCAATGTACACCCGACGCCAAATCCTTCGATTGCTAATCAACAAATGGCTGCACAACAACAACAACAACAGATTAGAAAATGAAAATGAAAAAGAAAAAGAAACGTTTTTATGAACTTATTTATCTTTGTTTTTGTTTGTATAAACTGTTTACTATTAGATAATAAACTGTAACATATAAAATAAACATAAAATGCATAAAACTATCGTTCATTTGCTTTTCATTGGTTTTCAATTGCACTGTCGATTACATACATATTTATCTCTAGAAAATAAACCATCTACGCGTCGTCAGTCTCAGTATGCAAAAATGAGTTGAATAGATATATAAAAGCTCATCAATGTAACATCTTTCAAAAAGCATTTTACCTTCCATTTTCCAATCGCCCATTGTGATGATTGGTTATAGAAACAATTCTAGATATTACGTATACAAATATCAGTGATGAATTGGGTTTTGTTTTGAACTGAATTGAACAGATTTTAAATTACAGTAAAGAAAGATATGTATGTGTAGAGTTTGAAGATCTTTATGTCACTATAAAGCATTGATTGTAAAATGAAAATATTAATTAATCATAACTAAATGACAATTTTCAAATAACTAATATAATGCTGGTCGGTTTTTAGCTTACAAACATTTCATAACAAATAGCATTGAACATTGAAAAAAATTATAGTTATAATTAATTATTATTTTGAATGCAGACAGTTTAGTGAAATGTTCAGACTTTTTCAGTTTCAACTAATGAGATAGTGTTTCTTACCTTTAGAAGTCTCCAATGCGACATGGAATATTGAATCTATGAAAGCAACTTGCTTTGAGAGAGCAGAATTCTTCTTTTACAAGATATAATTCTATCTTCAATAAATTTTTCTTTCAAATCCTTGAACTTTTTTAAATTGGTCACTGAAAAATCACAAAATAGTGACTGAATATTATTGCTTGTATTAATTGATTCGTAGAATTGATAGCTAACTCTAGAAGATCCATCGGCGAATGGCGTTCTGCCATTAGAAAAAGATAATATTCTTCAGAGCATCTTGGTCTTTTTTTTTGGCAGATTTTAAAGTCTGTTTTGTATTTTGCATGTTGAACATTACTCAGTACTATGACTGATTAAAATTGAAAAAATGTAAAGTCTTATGAACATTGTCTATTTTGATACGATTACATAATTTGTTTTCAATTTTTTTGTTATCGTTGTTGTGGAATAATCAAAGATATATGAGTGTAGATTCTTTTTGTGCACATCATTATTGATATCAAGATAAAGATTCTATCCCGTTTGAAACTAAAAACTATAATTGTTATAACTATGCTGCTAATTATAATTTCAGACTATACTATCATCATTAACATTATTATGCGAATTTCCAATGCGCATTGCTTAAAGATCATTGAATAGATGAAACTTTTTTTTGCTGTTCAATATAGAACCATCTTCTCAAAGAACATTAATCTAGAGAGAGAAAAAAAACGAAAATTCATGAAATTGCTAAATTAGTATACTAAAAGCTTTACATTTACATATTACAAGTCTAACGGCGAACTATGTATCTTGATAACAATGCTCAAGTTATTTACAGTTAAAGTTCTATTCACTTTCAGATATTTATTTTTCATTTCCCCCTTTTCTTTATTTATGTAATAGAAAAATATCTGCCGGCAGAGAGTTTACAATAAGTTTTAGAGCCATTATAATAAAAAATGAAACTATAAGTCCTTTCTAGAATTACAACATCTGGATATAATTCTTCTTGAACTAGCCAAAGTTGATCTTGTTGTCTCGGTGGTTGCCGTTAAATATAGAGCAGAAAAACAAGACGCTGGTATGTTAGGATCACCTCGAAATTGCGCTGCCCACGAATCCGGTCTTACACCCAATAGTCCAAAACCAAGTTCATAAAGTAAAGAACTGAGAAAGTCTTCATCATCGGCTGCTTCGACAAATTCTTGTGACGGTAGTATCTTGCATAGGAAAGGTATAATAGAATCTTTCTTCGCTGTTTTGCTTACTTCCAGTTCACTATGAAGTTTATTAATTATAGTACTCGTACTATTGACCATGATGATGATCAAGACAAGAAAATACATTCGAATTATCATGTTGTTTAACAGTTAAAAATCAGTGCTTTTTCATTGTTTCTGAACATCTAAAACAAAAAGATTGTATTTTGTTATTGATATTTTTTTCTACTCGATGTCTTGAATATTTAACAGAAAAACTTAAAAATAAAGATGTAACTATATTGTTATAACACGACGTATTTGTCATCGTATAAGTTTTGTTAATCGATAAAAGAAAAAAATGAATGCTCACATTTATATCCTACTAATCATACGATGTAGTTATGTCTCCTCTATGAATCCTCTTCGGTTGTCGTTCAGAAAAAATTAAAAAACAAATGACCCAGTATATTTCACGGTACGTGTAAGAAGATAACAATAGTCAACAATTTTTCAGAGAAATTTTACTAAGAGATCATTAACAATCGACTATAACTTAAACAAATAATAAATTTCAAAAATTGACGTATTTTTCTTTCTTTTTTCATCCCATTATTAAAGCTGTGAGTTTGGAATCGTGATGTAAACAATAGGTTACGTTTCTTTTATTTATGATTGTCAAGAAAGAATGTCCTTCGAAAATACGTCAATGTACATATAACAGTTATGTGGTTGAGAACGAAACACACCGAATTCAATTTTATTTCTTACGAAAGTTTGCAGAAGAATGATAGAATAATATTAATCTGGACGTATGCACTGTAGCAATGCCAATCAACAAATTCATTCGCTCACATAATATTGCTTTTGCTGTGATTTATTAGAGAAGCATCAAATAAAAATATCGATGAAAGCATAATAACTCATAAGTGTATCATTTTTATACCGAACGTAATGATTTAAAAAAGGTACACATGATACCATTCGAATTAATTTTATGTAAGCTCCTTTTATATTTAATTACATAGTCAACACTGAATTGAAACTAAAATAAAGTTCGCCTACGGTGACACAAATTGTTATAGTGTAAACAGACCAACTTGTATAAACACAATTCATTGCATGTACTTTTGAAACTTTCACATCATTACTGATGAATTATTTTGAACTGAGCCAATCGTATAATTTGACAACGATATAAACTTTTATGAAAATTAGTGTAAAAAAAACTAAGAGAGAGATCAGATAGTCGACGACCATACACTTACTATATGCTAATATACTTGCAGTAATAGCTATTTATAGTGATCACAGTTTGTTTAATGATTTGCTCACTAAAAGTTACGAAATCATGAATTACTTTTGATGTTGATTTTCAAAAACAAATTGGTTGTCCAAATTAACTTGTACTTTATCTAAATTGTTTTAGATTTGTTAAGATTAAAAAGAATATCGATTCGTCGATGGATGAGTAACTTTCGATTGGAATAATATCATAATGGATATTTTAGAATTTACAGATTTCTAAATTCAAAAACTAAAGATATCCATTTTTCAGAAAAGAAAGCGTATAATTATAAAGGTAACATTTTGAATTCGATTTTTTAGATGACTGCGAAGGTAGAATCATAATTTTGACACGATCGTAATATAAAAAAATGATCTGTATAAAGCGGTTACGATGAAATATACTTCGTATCAAATGCTTATTAAAACAATAATTTTAATATCCATATAATTATTAATCAATTAAAGTTTTGTTTTCTATAATAATTCGTTTGTCAGTATTTTATCAGACAAATGCCGATCAATTTATGCTGCTTATTTTACATTTTGTACTATCAAAAGTTCATTTCATCGCTATGTCCGTTGTAAGATAAATAGATATGAACTCTGGAATAGCTAATTTTCCAATAGCAATTCAGAAAAATGCATATCAGGAAGATTTCGTGGATTCTATTTCTTCTTCTATTAGGTTAACAATTTTACTTTTGGAACATAACGAAAAGAGTCTTATCAAATTGTTATTTGTATCTGTAGGATAGTTACGTTTACCTAACTCTTTATTTCTTCAAACCAACACTAACTAGAATCACTTTAACAACTCCTCCTTTACTTCACTTCACACTTCATACATATGTTAAACCAATTAGTCAGTCTCATGACCAATAGAGATAACAGAAAGAAGATAGGTAGTGGTCAAAGATAGCGCCACTGCCTAATAGTATCTTTCAATCTTGATTATTTATATTTTGTAGAATTGATGAAAATTTAATATCAAAGTTCACTTAAAATGAAGACTCTTTTTATGTTTTGATCTTCGTATATTCCTCATTGATTACGTTATTTTCATAATTACGTATATATCAAATAGATATATTGCCATAAAAATAAGAAATTAAAATGGTTTATTTTATGTATTTATCACGAAACAATGTGTTAGCTACGCGAAACACAAAATCCAGACCGCAAATAATCTTGACAAAGAATAAAGAGTTCAATTTTGAGATTGATTTTCAGTATAGGATAGAGCTAAAATTCGTTAATAAAGTTTCAATGAGCTGTAGTACGTAATTGGACCCATTTTGTAACTATTTTGTTGTGAGTGAAATAGTGAATAAATTGATTAATCAATTGCTTGCTTTTTCATTAGGTATGCTGAGTTACTCGAGGAAATATTATTTCAAATGATTTGATCATGATTATCTAAGCTCACAAGTAAAACTATTCTCATTGTTGTCTTCCGAACATTATCAGAAGCTTTGAAAACTAAACTTATCGAATAGATAATTATTGGTTCCCTACCATATGAAAAGTAATCATAATATAGTCAATCACATAAAATATTGTATCAAACTAAAGAAAGACTAATCCAATGAGAAGTTCAATGAGAAAACTGAAAACAGTCTTAATAGAAATTACATGATCTATTTTTAGATTCATTTCTAATCAACAGAAAGAAAGAAGCAGAATTACAATAGTATGAGATCTTTATTAAATTTATAAATAAATAATTTTCTTCTATCGTTATTTTATTTTTCGATGATAAATCCCAATTAACATATTTTTCAATCGAAATTCATCGATCGTAGTTTCAATAATATCTTTATTAACTAAAAAAGAAAAAATATTTGATCAAATACATTAAGCGCACATAATTGACAAAGAATCAATAGTTGATTTTGATTAAAAATCATTCGTGTCTTTATCAATTAGAAAATTTCTATTTATACTTGGTTGCCATTGATTATTAATAATAATCATATTTCATCGTCGAAAATTTTGATGTGTTTTTGTTAATCTTACTTGATTATTAAAACTAACGGATGTGAAAAAAGAAAAAAGACTAGCCTTCATTCTTGATTTTCTTCGTTCATCATTCACCATCGATAGAAGTGTCTATTCAGTTGATTCTACTCTCTTTCTTATCGACTCGGGTAAGTTCGAAGAATGAGAAAAACAAAACAAAACAAGATCCACGTAGTTTCCAACACGATACATGTTACTACTCATACTCGTCATGTTTTCTTTATATTATTCAGATAAAAAAATTCTTATTATAGTGAACTGTATGTTTACATCTAAGTAAATGAACAGTCATATAATTGAATTTGTATATGTGTAAGCTTGTACTATAACACGTTGAACAAAACATCGAATGATGATAATCGCATGCGCGAATAAAGACGGAAGCTTTGATTTACTGTATGCATCGGAAGAAGAGGAAGAATGAACTTTCGACAAGGCGATGCAAAGAGTTTTTTCACCGGCAAACAGGGCCAGGGCAGGCCAGGGAGAGAGGGGGGGAGGGGAGGAGAAAAAAAGGAAAAACTGCTAACGAGACGCAAAAGCGAAGAATGTAATCGTCAACCTCTCTCACAACACACTTGTTTCCTTCTCCTTTTCCTCTCGGCAAAGAGGGCGATGATGGTGGGTGACATTTCGGTTGGATTGAGAGTACAACATATATAATATATATATATATATACATACACATATCATCATCTGTTCGGATGAAAAGTGTGTATATACAAATACACACATATATACACGCATAGATTTATCATGACAATCAATGTAGTTAGTTATACGCATGCACTATAGTTTTATTGTTTTTCGTGAGTATATTTAATAAAACCTAGTCACAGTTTTTAGATGATCGTGATATTTAATAAAATTACTTCGATAAAGATTTTCTCGATTTCCCTTAAGTCAATATTATTTTTCTGCTACGGAAGAAGTAGATTAACTTGATAAGAAAAATGATTACGTTTCTTGTACTGAACACATTGCTCGAAAACTAAATCGATTTCGTTAATTAAGTCTCTTGTGGTGTTTAAAGATTGTACTAAGTCGTGACTACAATGGATTGTTCGATAATAAATAACGAAACGCTATCTCATCTTGTTATTATCAATCAAATGACTGCAACAACGGGATGTACACATGAAAAAGCCAAACAGTTATTAATTTCAACAGACTATAGACTTGAGGTTAGTTTTATTTGAATTTTGTTATTTTGAAAGAAAAAGGAATCCTTTTTTATAGGCAGCAATAAATTTATTCTTCGATGAACGGACGATGCCGATTCCCTGTTGCAAATTTTCTGAAGTAATTATTTTTAATTTATCCATTTTAAATTATATTATTTGATATAAATAAGTTGATGACACCAGCAAATACTCCAGCAACACCACCAAACTTTCCTGAAACTCTTCTTTCATTTAACAAATTATCAACATCGACACCAACAGGAACAACACCACCACCACCATCATCATCATCAACAACAACAAATATTCTATCAAATGATAATCGTATTTCTTCAAGCACAACCACTACAACAACAAATCATTCACTATCATCATCACCAATGAATATGACAATGATGATGATGATGGATGGAACTGCTTAAACTAATAATCAGATCTTTTATTTCTTTCGTTTTCTTCTTCGATATTTATTTTAATAAGAAATATTTCAATCTAGAAAATAAATCTTGGGATAGAACGGGCATTTTATTTCTTAATGTATCTTTTTTTAAGAATCATCTCACATCTTGATTTGAGTTCTACAAGCTATATGAAAAAGAAAACATAGAAGGAAGTTTATGCTCGTAAATCATCAAGATATGGCATTGAATTAAGATTTCCAAGTGAAACTAATGTTGGTTGTTTTCCACTTAACATTTTCTTTGCAAATTGATTTATTGAATCATTTGAGAAATCACCTTGTTCCAATTGTGAAACAACCAATTGAACATCAGTTAATCGATCACTAACATCAGGTCGAGTTAACATTTTTGAAAAAACATCTGAAGATTGTTCAGCTGTCATTTGAAGATTTACTTGAAGTTTCTTCCTAAAAACAAACAAAGTACTTCAATGAGAAATTGTTCATTCAGCACATCGTCATATTTCTTTGCTTCGCTTTTGGTTGCTCGACTAGTATCTCAATCAGTTATGATTTCACACATAAAGTGATTCCAATTGAAAAACGAAGTCTTACGTTTATTTAATCATGATATAGTTATATTAAGATCTACGCAATTACTATACAAATCTGTCTATGATATGATACAAAATAGGTGTGTTCGACTTTGATAGATTTTTGTTGAACAGTTTAGAAGTTGAAAAATAAATTCAATCAACTATGAAAATTTTTAAATACTATACTTTTGATTTTGTATTAAAACTTACTTGGCAAGATTAAATTCTTCTTTGCTAATACCATTTTTTAAAACTTTACTGAATTCGTTCCAAACTGCCTTAGTAACTTTATTTGCATCATTTTTATTACACATGATATGAGCGCCAAATAAACCTGATTCGTTATAATTAAGATTGAATGATGAAGCCTTTGAATAAAAAATTTTGGAAACATATTTTTTTAACTCAAAATAAATGAACTAACTAAACAAGGTGCATCAGTAACAGCTTGTGCTGCACGTTGAAGTCGATTGGATCCTGCTGACCATTTTATATTTGGACCTGTTCCCATAGCTTCATTTAATAATGAACTTGTTAAAATGCCCTTTTCATCCTTGGAACTAAAAGCAAACGGTTAATTAAGAAAATATTTAATGTAGTTTCTTTTTGGTATCAACTACCTAACTCCTTCACAAGCTAATGCAATATGAACTAAACTTGATTGAGTATCATGTCGAAGTTCTCCTATAATAAATATTCAAATAATAGAAATATCTAAAAAAACTAAATAAAACAAACCTCCTTTATATTTCGATGGTTCAGGTTCGGAATCAATTAATTTAAGATTCCCAAAACCTGGTGTATAAACACAATCAAGTGGCGAAAAACGAAATTTATCCGCTAATTGAACTAGTGTTTGATGATTACAACCAGTTCCAACTAAAGATATTCGTTCTGGAGTATAATAATGCGAATGAAACGCATACATCTATTAAAATATTTAAAAATATGAAAATTTCCATTAAAATAACTGAAAATCTATTTACTTGTCTATGTGACAATTTTTTCATCATATCGGGACTAACTGATAATGATCGACTTAAACCACCTTTGAACGCTGCTTCATGTAGTAAATCATTTAATTCTAAAGAAATTTTGTTCAACAAAATACTTTAAAAAAAGAAAAGAAAAGAATTTACGTAATTCAGGTGATTGTAAGTAAAGTTTATGATCAAGTTCAACTCGATCATGTTCATCATGAATTTCATAGGGTTTAAACATTGGATAACAAACAACAGGAACCAAAAATTGAGCTCCATGTGTTCTTTTTTTTAGTGAAATTAAAAATAAAGAAATAACAACTTTTCAAACAAAACAAGTAAATGCTTATATATACACATACAATTCACTTCGGAGACCTTCAACTGAGTAAATCATTTGTTCTCGTGTTTGTACACATCTATTTATTGATAAAGAATCGTTTGATTTTTTTAAAAGCAGCAGAATAGATATATTTTTACTTGAAATTTGCACCTAAACGTTCTAAATTTTTTGTTAAGCCAAGTCGACTAACATATTTCGTGCTCTAAATAACCAATAGAACAAAAGTCAATTTTTATTTTTTCATCAGATAGAACTCTTGAACAAAGTTACGCTGTTTAGTTCGCAGTTTGATATAAACTAATGATAATTCAAATTATTAACAGAAAATTTATGAAAAATACCGATGAATATTATTATGTTGATAGACATTTCTATTGTAGACTTTATTTTAAAATTCACTGTAATTTTTTTTCTATCAAAAAATATTTAGTTTCATATATATTCAAGTAGTGATAAATATAAAAATGAAAATGTGTTACAGATACATTCTAAATAAAGAACTCGTTTTCTCAGCGAGCTATATTTGGTGATTCTCGTAGATGAAATTCTTCGTTACGCATGACAGTTAGATATTACTTAATCAAGCAAATAGGAGTAGGAAAGTGTTTTTTTTAAATTTGTATTGTCGATCATTAGATATCTGAGAAAAATTTAGAAATATCTTGAATAATAGATTTTTTGTATCGAAATATTTGATTCTATAACAAATTTCTTCAAGATTTCCAAATGTTAATAGTTTTTTGCAGTAAATTTGTACTCATCGAGTAGGAATATCGTTGATATTCTAAAAACGAAATCGTCCCCATTCAAGACTGCGTATCTCCTAATCGAAAAATTCTTTTCATAAATTTTCCATCAACTTCATGTGTGGTAAAAAGGAATGATACCATTCCGGCCGATCCATATTTAGCCAAAAAAAAAATCATCGACTATTTTATCAATTAGGTGAAAATAATTAGTCGTTCTCACTTGTAACCGGAAACCAATAATTAGTATGGTAAATGATGTATGTATTCTCATCGTTTCATCTCTACTGCACATTACTTTATAAACTGTGTGTCAAGATATATTTCTTCTCCTTCTTTTATAAAACTCTATTACTGGTTTCTATATAGATATTTTTATAACTTTTTAGATAAATATTTACTTTTCTTTGATAAAAATTAACAAAATAACTGATTTCTTTGGATCATCTGCAGATAGAGATCCTATAATATTTCCTTGTAGAAAGTAAAATATCACAGTTTGAATAGTTACTAAATTTTAAGATAATGTCGTATTTTCAGTCACTTTTTGAGGGTCATATCGAAGGAGAAAATGTCAAATATCTAAATAATTAACTACTTCAATATGCTATGAATTGGTATTAATTGATCGAAATAAACGTCGATGTGAACCTTCTGACGCACACACAATATTCAAGCTAAAATTACCAAATTCGAAAAAACTCGAAGAAGTGTTGTAACGCCACGGCTTTCATATGGTTCATATTTCGCTCCGGCATCAACAACAGCTGCAACACGAAAAATTGGTGAATTATTTTCCATGGAAGCCACAACCAATCCATTGGGTAATTTCGTTACCTTTGAAAACATTCATCGAATTTAAAATAGGTTTAAAATATTTTCTCTTACATTGATACTTTCTTTTGGCAAATTTATCCGTTGTGGAACTCCAAATTGACCTGTTTTCGTTTGAGGAACACTTCTTTGATTCACAGTCGACGCAACAGCAGCTGATGATGATGATGCTCGCCGCTAAATTAAAAGCTAAAGTTGTATTAAAACTAAATATTTAGACAACTGACCAGAGCATTGAAACTGTATTTGCAAGTTGCCATCGACATCAATAATAAAAAGCGAATAAATAATAATATATAAGGAAGAATGTATTAAAGCCATAGAGAAAATATTCCGTCCTCAATTAAATTACAGCGAAATTTCTATTGGCTGATAAAACAAAACCAATGATTATTTTACTTTAAAATATTTCAGATGTCTGTAAGACATTGTTTCTCTTTTCGCTTTGTTCAAATTTTATTTAAGAATGAATATCAATTAAGACATTTATCATCTAATAGAAAAAAAATTACCATGAATATTCAGAAAAAGACCAACCAACCATCAATTGCGTATGTCAATTGTTTTTGCACTTTAATTATTTTAAATGTATACATATATTTAGTTCGTTTTTTGCGAAAACAGATTCATCAATAATTAAAAAACCTAAAAAAGAAAGTGAACCACCATCGATTCGTGTAGAAAACAAAGAAATAATAAAATCTCCATCTTCTGATTCAGACGATAAATCATTTACATTGGCTCCAACAAAAAAGTCAAGAAAACGGCTTCTCAGTTTTGATGAAAGTGGTCCAGATGAGAAAAGTAATGCATCGAATGAAAATATTAAGAAAACGCCGACAAAAGCTGTTAAACAAATGAAAATAATTGATACTAAAGTTGAAATAAATGATGAAAAGGATTCAATTTTTACTAAAATTGAACAAACAACTATTATTCCAATTGAACAAAAGACGTAATTCAGTCAATGATAGAAACATTTTCAACAACTTAAAGAATGTTTTTTTTTAATTTTAGCATTACTGATACTCAATCCTATAATCCCGGTAAAACAAATTATGATCCAATCAATGATGCTTGTTGGAAACTTGGTGATGAGTTAGTATCAAATTCTTTTTTCTCTTAGTTACTAAATCCGAGTGTTTTTAATGTATCAAAAAAAATTTTTTTTTCGTGCTAGTAATTATAATTATTGTTTTTAATCAGGTCTGATGAGAATTATATTCAATTGAATCATGGTTTTCAAAAGTATTAGGATGAAAATAGTTTTTAAGTTTTTTTTCATAATTAACAATGACAAGTGTCTATGTGAACAAACTGTAGACGATTTTTGAAAAAAAAAAGATTATTATTCTCATAGTGTTAACTGAAAAACTATTGTCATTTGCCATTATCACATTATCAAGAACATGCTAAAATATTTTTATTCATATATGTTATAGTTGCATAAAAATTAAATAAATTCCAACCTTATGCATCTCTGCGTAGGAGATCATATTGATAATATATTTGAAGTTACAAGTACTGTTAGCTTATGAAATCAGAATGAAAAATGATAGAAATGATTTCATTTTTGAAATAAATCATGCTCGACATATTTACGAAGTGCAATTAAAACATAACGCTTTAAAAAAATATTATCTTGAAGAATATAACTGTTAGTCAATTAACTAGATAAACTCGACAAACTTTTGATGAAAGCAATACTTCAGATGTAATAAATTAGATTGAGAATTCTTTTAGTAAATGACCAAAACTTCTTTAATATGTATTTATCGGGAACAATTGTTATGAATCTTGAAAACTAACGATTAAGTAAATAGAGAAACAAGATTATTGATCTATACGTATTGGTATTTAGTGTGACTCAAGTTATTGATTGAAGAAAGAAAATATATTTTCTCTGTTAACGATGAAGAAATGAAGTTTACAGAAGAGATCGAAGAAAGACGATCGTTCTATGAAATAATGTTACTATTATTTTTTATTTAACTTTGAACCAAATTCAAATATTAATTATTCTCATAATTCTATACATCTCTATCTAGCTTTCTTGTGATGAGGTATACTTTTTCTTCACATATCTTCTATGATAATTATCAAGAACTAGAAATATATAGATCGGAGCGAGATGAAATTCATGAGGAAATATATCTAACTTTTAAATTGAGTAATTTTTTGTCATACAACTCGTGATTCAATGAAATAAAATTAATAGGAAAGAAAAGTGTTTCCTTTGGTTTTTCGATTGATATTTATCAAACTGTGGCTATTGTACTTGCATTCGATTTTTTTGTCTATCTTGTAGAAGATGACTAAAAATATATATGGTTGAATTTCAGTGATTCGTAGATTTTATAGTCAATATAAACCGCAAATTTCGAATCGTAGCATAGGCTTTAGTTGCCACGATATTTTAATTTTAATAAAACATGTATATTTGAGTTAAATTTGAGAAGATAATTATTTTCATCAGCAGATATATTACCATTGACACAATAAATTCGATCAAGGGGTTATTCATCGTTTCTTTCATCATATAAATGAAAATATAATAAAATAGGTGTAATTCAATAAACAAAAATTGAACAAGTTAATCAGAAAGAAACATTTTCATGATTAATAAATCATTGACTTGAGAGTTAGAGATTTTTCGTCTTTCAGTTTACTGTATCGATGTCAAAGGTTATTATTATTATTTTACTTTTATTTATATTTCAGTGTTCCATATAGTTCTCTATCAACAACATTACTGTTAATCGAAGAAACATCAGCCCGTTTGGAAATTATTCGTATATTATCAAATTTCTTTCGCTCAGTTCTTAGCTTATCATCAAATGATTTAGCTCATTGCGTTTATCTATGTGTTAATAAAGTAGCACCTGATTATGATGGAATTGAATTAGGAATTGGTGAAACGATTATTATGAAAGCAATCGCTGATAGTACTGGGCGTACTGTTGAACAATTAAAATTAGATTATAAATCTAAAGGAGATTTAGGTCTTGTTGCTGAGGTAATTTAAACTGAATAAAAAGCTCGAAATTCTTTTAATTATATTTTAGGCATCTCGCTCAACACAACGTACTATGTTCAAACCAAAACCATTGACTGCTTCACTTGTTTATAAAAAATTGAAAGAAATTGCACAATTAACAGGAAATAAAGTAAAACTTATTATTTTTTTTCTAATTGATTAAAAAAACAATTTATTTTAAAGAGTCAACAACGTAAAGGTGACATAATTAAAAGTCTTTTAGTATCGTGTCAATCACACGAAACTCGTTATCTTGTTCGGTCTTTAATTGGTAAACTTCGTATTGGTTTAGCTGAGCAATCGATGCTTGTCGCCTTAGCTCACGCATGTATTCGTAATGAATATTCAAATTTAAAAGAAACAGCATTGAAAGAACATCTTGACAACGGTACACATGCTGTTAAAGATGCTTTTTGTCAGTATCCATCGTATGACATACTCGTTGATGTACTTGTTAATAAAGGTGGAATCGATAAATTAAAAGATTTATGTAAAGCAACACCAGGTATACCAATGAAACCCATGTTAGCACACCCATCGAAAGGTATTGATGAAATATTAAAACGTTGTGGACAAAGTGAATTTGCATGTGAATATAAATATGATGGAGAACGTGCACAAGTGAGAAGAATATTTTCCAAGATTTTATTTTGAAGAAAATGCTCTATTCAATTTTTTAAATTTAGGTTCATTTAACTGACGATGGTAAAATTTATATTTATTCAAGAAATTCAGAAAATAATACATCAAAATATCCAGATGTTATCGAACGTATTCCTAATGCATTTCAATCAAATGTTAAATCTTTAATTTTGGATGGAGAATGTGTAGCGTATGATATAGAACAGAAAAAATTATTACCGTTTCAAACATTATCAACAAGAAAACGAAAAGTAATTTTTCTTTATGAATATTAATCATTTTAAACATTAGTTTTGTTAATTCTATTTACGCGAAAGATATGTTTCGAACATGAGTTTTTTTAAATGAAAATATAAAAAATGGTGTAACCTACAGTACTAATAAAGAGGAATTATTTAGCATAAGTCTACTTTTCGAAATAGAATAACAATTTGAAAATAAAATACAATTACTCAGTCACGGTTAATTGGATATATGCCCAACGCATAGAAACAAGAGCAAAACGGTTTCATCAAGTAGTTTATTAATCAGAGAAACTGATCGATAGTAAAAATCATAATATGAAACTCAGAGCAGTTCATCTATGATCATATTCGAAATCGATATGATTAATGGCTTAATATTCTATAAACATTCTTTTAGACATCAAATAACAAATAGTTAAAGTTTCCTTATCGATAAAATAGAATGTTTCATCGATTTTTTGTAGAGTAGAACTAAAAAGAGACCGTAACAATTTCTGATTCTATAGGTTCACTTCTCGGTGAAATTATATCTTCAAGAATTTCGAAACTTGAAATAATATATTACTTTTATTTTTTAAAGGATGCTGATATCAAAGAAATAAAAGTTCAAGGTTTGTTTTGTTGTTTGAAATTTATTGTGTAATTCGAATAAACTTTTCCTTTAGTTTGTATATTTGCCTTTGATTTATTATATTTAAATGGTGAATCTTTGGTTGAAAAATCTTTTCGTGAACGTCGTCGCTTATTACATGAATCGATTGTCTGTATACCTGGTGAACTTGTTTTTGCTGAATCTCGCACAACATCAAATATTGATGAGATCAATATGTATTTGGAACAATCAGTTAAAGATGGATGTGAAGGTCTTATGGTGAAAACATTAGATGATGATGCTACATATGAAATTGCTAAACGATCCCATAAATGGCTCAAAGTAATTCTTTATATTTAAAAAAGCGAAAGAAAAAAATGATTTTTATTTTATTTTGTTTAGTTAAAAAAAGATTATCTTGATGGTGTTGGCGATACACTTGACTTAGTTGTTATTGGTGGCTATACAGGCACTGGTTCGTTGTGTGCTAACTGTTTCTATTTGCTTTTTATTAATATATATTTAAGGTAAACGAACGGGTGTTTATGGAGGATATTTATTGGCATGTTATGATAAAGATAATGAAGAATATCAATGTATTTGTAAAGTGAGTTTATTTTCTCTCAAAAACATGAAATTATTTGAAATACATACTTCAATATAATTAATTTTAGTTAGGTACTGGATTTACTGATGAACTACTTGTTTCACTTGGCAATTCATTAGAACCACACATAATACAAAAACCATTGGCGTATTATCGTTATTCTTCATCGTTAACACCAGATGTTTGGTTTGATGCAGTGAAAGTTTGGGAAATAAAATGTGCTGATCTGTCTTTATCACCTCATCATCATGCAGCAATTGGACTAGTGAGTAGAAAATTTTCAAATTGAATGATAATGTTTGTTGTTGAATGTCGTCTATTTAGGTTGATGAAGGAAAAGGAATATCTCTTCGATTTCCTCGTTTTTTACATGAAAGACAAGATAAATCAGTTGAAGATGCAACAAGTGCTGAACAAGTTGCTGATCTCTATCGAAGACAAGAAAAAATAAAAAACATAGATCCAAATAATCAAGTGGATGACGATGATGATATGTACTAATTACTAGAAACATTTATTTTTTTCTTGTAAAATTTTTCTGTTCAATGTTGAATAATAAACACTTGAATTTCATCATGTTATTACATTTAACAAAAAAAGATTTCACGGAAACGAATTGATCTCATCGACGAAACTCAGCTACATGTATTCAAGCAGCTAGCTATGATTTAACAGAATCCTTTTTCATTTATGTACTTTTTATTTTATATAAAAATCAGTTGATAGAAGAAAACAAGAATCTTATTTTCTTTTTCTCACATTTTGAATTCCTACCCTATTAAAAATGCTATTGGTTTGTCATGTTGAACAGTTGCTCTGCCGCCGCGGTGGCTCAGTCGGTAGAGCGTCAGTCTCATAATCTGAAGGTCGTGAGTTCGATCCTCACCCGGGGCATTTATTTTTTGTTTTCATTATTTTCCTAAACATCATAGACATTAATATTGAAGAATCCTTCAAATATATGAACTGTAAGATGATGATTTAAGTTAATACATATTTTTGATTTTTGTTTATTTTTGCTTTTGGCATCAATGATTACACATTTTGTCTATTCTATATGCTTCTTCTCTTTTATACTAATCGATTTGATATAGAGTCCTTTTACACGTTAATTTCCTATTATATGGCTAAACTACTAATAGTACATAGAAGAAGAAAAAACATTCATTGAATATCAATTTTATTTAGAAAAGTCGTTTGTGCTACAATCCAAGACTTTTCCCATAAAACCTACTGTTTGTAACTTTTAAAATGCTTGAACTCTTTCTTTTTTTTGCTTTGCATTATTTATTGATGCCGGTAGATTGTATTCATATAAATTAAAGTTTCATAAGCTAGAATTTCAACTAGGAAAGCGAGTTGGGTTTATTAAGGTTATGCCGTTATTAATGCGGTGCGAAGCACAGCATTCATGTAGTCCGTCGCGAGTTTTTTTTTGTTTTTAACTTGACGCGTACGCATCAAAATAGTCATTTTGCTGTGCTATGATCTCGAGAACCACAAATGATAGAAACGTTATTCAAACTAAAGATGAAAATATGAATATTGAACTTGTGATATTTGTTTTCAAAATTTTAATACGATATTTTGTTTGTTCAGAAATATTCTCCCAAAATGACAATTTTGACAGATATTTATCGTTTCAGACTTTCGCGCTAATTAAAATGACGTTATCAATAGTTGTTAACCAATAGTCTATTGCTTTACATCTGATTCAAGATAATGATTCATGAAAATAATTAATCGTTCAATGAAAAAAATCGTTAGACAACTGGTTGTTACATTTTCAGAGAGATTTCCTAGTGATGACTTTCAAAATGGCCGATTTAAGAATAGTGAATGCGAAATTTTTATTCAGAATTCGTAAACGGAAATTAAAAAAAAATAAACGTTTGTAATGAATCTTAAAGTGAATCATTTATTTTTAAATCTTATTCTCGCTACTTTCGAAAGTTCGGCTCGTGTGCTTCGCACCGCATTTCGTAGTCGAGTGAAACTCGAATACCATCTAGTTTTTATTTTACTAGCAGAGAAGAGTTTTGTTGCAAGTTTATGTATGTATGCATGTATATATATATATATATATATGTCATATGAAAAATAGATTCGGAAAAATATAAAAACTAAAAGAAAACATAAATTTTTATATTTAATTAACAATGCAGACCAAACCAAGAAATTTTCATTTCAAAGAAACTTCTTTGAATATAGCATATTCGTAGCAGACTTGATGATTTCGGTTGTATATCACCTTTAGTAATCAGTTTCTATTGATATTTTGAAAAGAAGAAAAAACTAAAGATTTTTAAAGCGTAACAAAGAAGATTCTTGAATAATTTCTCATTTGTTACATTGTATTTATTATAGACTAGGTAAGTCCCAGATTTGGAAGATCAATAACTTCTGTTTGGGTCAGTTTTTGATGGTAAATATCGAGCTTATCAATAGAATCCTGATAAACACTATTTACATAGCTAGAAGAACAACAATAGACATAGCCTACCTAAGGATTTGCGAGTATATTGCTACAGTCATAAAGAAACTACCATTTTTTAACATAACAGATTCCATCGACATACAATGAATATCGTGTTTTCTCTACTGTAAAGGCAGAGGCCGGTACCGGGTCTCTAGATATTGTATTTGTGGTCTCTCCTCTCCTCCCTGAAATTTTATTTGTTCCTCTCTATTGTTCACTGAGAAAAAATAGAAATATTCTTTCAGAGATAAAAAGATCTGTATAACATATCCAGAATGTTTCGTTGGATAGTCATTTGGAGAAAATGTTGATAAACATAATCTTGTTAAAAGCGAGTACTATCATATCGTACTATTCAACTCCAACCCACATCTTGAAAATATTGAGGTATAACCTGATGTATATTTTTGGTACTCTCATTTATATGTTTTTTTATGCGCAATTATTGTTTATCGTAAATTATGAAATCATCTTTTATTTTTTTTTCTCGATTACAACGACAACGATCTTTATTTACGTTTGGCAGATGAAATACTTTGTGGTAAATGAATATCATCACTTGACTGACTTTCATCAATTGTTGGCCAATGTTTTTGTTTAATACCTTCACCTTGTTTAATAACATTTTGTGATGAAAGTAGATATTGAAAATCATGTCCTATCGTAAATGAACTCGATGAACTTTTTCTAGAAATAGTGGTAATGATTTGTCGATAATTTGGTGGTATAACATCGAATAATTCTCGTTGAGAATCTTTTCTTGATATCAACGTATTTTGAGATACAGTACATCGAAAATGAAAATGAACATATTTTGATGGATGACGATTTTCAACAAGCACTATAAGACCATCCCAATATTTTTTCAATTCATATATCGTAATACCATCGAATTGATTATCATTTTTATCTGTACTCTTCGATGTGCATACGGGTTCGCCATGAAATATGCAAAGTTTTATTAAAAATTCGCGTTTCATTCTTAGAGGAAATTGTAGACGCTGAATATCAATTACACGAGAACTGTGAATAGCTAAAGTAATAAAATAATTTAATTTAATTTAAATAATAGAAGCAATTGTTTTACTAATATTTTCTTAAGTTTACTAACCAACGGTGAATTCAGTATTATCTAAGTGTTTATTTACTTGATTGAATAAAAGTGGTAGAATAACATAAGTTCCTGGTTGAAGAAAACCATCCGTTGCAATGAATTTGTGTTGATCACGCTGGCTTATAATTGGTATCGAATAAATACGATGAGTTCCATTTGGTTGTTCTTCGATATTTATGATTGCAAGACAAAGACTAACATCACTTCGTTGAACACGAAGATTTTTACTTATTTTTCTATGAAGTGTTATATCAAGTTCAGTCGCGTGTGATACAATTAAAGAATAGGCTAAATTAAAAAACAAAAGTAATATAACTTATCTTTCATCATTTATTATATTAGAAATCAAACCTTGCATCATTTTAGGCATTGGATAGAAATTCGATGAATCTCTAACTTCATACCAATCATGTCTTAATTTGCAAATATCAACACATTCAAAATATCTAACAAATGATACGAATGGCATCCAAAAGACACCATCTCGTTTATTGAGTTTAGTATTTAATAATTCAGGATTTAAATCAGGATTTTCAGACCATAGACGAGAATTATCTGACCAATCACCTTGAAAAAATAAATCAATTTCATTTAATATATATGTTACAGGGGAGATTGAAATACAGGGCTATTTAAAATAGTCTTTAGGGGAAATTGAAGTTCTAATCTACCCTGGGACAAATTAAAATTTTGCTTTTTCTCTGGTTCAATTTATGAGAAAAGATGACGATTTTGATTTCAGCAAGTCCTGCAATCGCACTCACAATCATACTGGCATCCACACCCACACCCAAGAAAAATAATTATTACAACAGTATGATGCTTTGTAAATCGAAGCAACAATAAAATATATGATTACACCAATAAAAACGTAAGAGATAAACTGTAGAGATAAGTTAATATGTGAGAAAATAAAATAAAAATATCGAAAAACTTCATTGATAAATCAAAATCCATGCGAAACTATCGTGTGACTACTTAAAACTCTATGATAAAAATTGCACTGCAGTCTGATCAGTATATATGCATATAATACCTTAGAATAAGTTCAAATTCATAAGTCTTCAAAACTATTTCAAATTTTAGTTTTTAATATAATGTGAAAAAGAAAATAGATCAAATTGTCTACTCAACAATAATATTCAGAAAACGACACAGTTTTTCTATATAAGACAATCAGACAAATATTTGCGATCGTATTGTACAAGTCGAATAGAATTTTCAATAAAGCTATCTATTTGTCTGTCTGTTGTATGATAGATTGATTATATTGACGTCATATGAAAGTCTTCTTTATGATAAATAGTTGACATCAAATAAATACATGATACAGCACAAAAGTTCAAATAGATAATGATAAAATCAAACAAACCAAGTTGAATAAAAAAAAGATTCTAATCAAATTCATCAAAGAGTTTTTTGAAAACTGTTTTGCCAAGATTTTTATGTTATTCGAGCAATCATTTCGATAATTTTTCATAAATGTATTTTTGTATTAAATATTTTGCTCTTTCTAATAAAAGAAAAAGGATCGATTCTCTACAAAGTACCATTATAGTACTTTGTTTAAACAACATTAGTACAGAACTAGTGCGCAAGTATAGACAAGATTATAAATTAGTAAACATATTTTTAGGACTGCATTCAATAACTTCATTGAATTATTTACGTACCCATGTCTTGAGGGTGTTTTTTTAGCACCAAGAGATGAATCTTTGATTTGACTTCACAACACAACGCGTTTTGCTATGGAAGGTTTACTGCACACGACAAATGAACTTTTATTCTTGAAAATCTCAGCCAATCAGAAAAACACAATACTCAATGAACTAAACTTAAAATAAGTTGCACTAAAAATTAAAAAAATGTTGAATCTAATTATACTTCACTTCAAATTATCATCAATGCGAAAAAATTAATAATAGCTTTCCAAACTTCACAGTTAGTCTCGTTCAACTCTAATTCTTTTATAATCGAAAGACAAACAAGATTTTTAAACCTGTTAAAGATTTTTATTATTCAATGGCTAAGATTATATAAATTTATGGCATTATTTTTAAATTTATAATGACTTCGTGTACTTCTCTCAGTTAGAGAATGACTATGATCTTGAAGAAAAATAGTTGCGTCTTATACAGACTTAGTAATTGATTTTTACGCTATTGAGTTAATATTTTGAATCTATACACTTAATAAAGAAGTTTGATCACAAGTATCAATCTTATTCTTTATCTGTCTACATGTACTAGAGTAATAAGAGTTGATCTCCTAATCGAAACTATGATGGCACTAATATGATTGTCTAAGATCTACTTAAAATAAAATGAACGTTAATGATATGTGTAGCTCGAATTTTGTCAAAACCATCTTTAACAATATTAATTTAAAATTATCACGAGACGAAAAGTCTACTGTAAAATATAGGAGCTTGAAAATTAATTAAAGAGTTACGGCTACGACATGAATTCAATTGCATATGGTAATTCAACTACCAAGATCTTAATCATATCTCACGAACTTTGATGGTGCTGAAAAAGACATATGTGAAACTTTTTCATGCTAGAAAAATAAATATTAAAATATCACAGTTGGAGTGAAAATAAAATATTGGTTCGAAAAATAAATAAGAACTAGGATAATCTTATCGATGAGACAACTACTAATTATTATCCAAGACTATATCATAAAATCATCTTTTGAACGTCTAATATTAATGATCAAACCTCAAAAAGAGATAATATTACTAAAAGCAAACTAGACAGCTTACCAGTCCATCTATATGTACCACCCCATGGATTTCTTAATTTAACTAATTTATGTTTTTTATCTTTTGATTGTGCAAGATCTTGTAATGAATAAGCATGAATATTGAGCAAACCATATTTTTCAAATTCTTCTTTACTAATCAAATTATTACAACACATAGCACACATTAGAAATCTTTTAGAACGCGCATGTAATAATTTAGACCATAATCTATCATAATCAACATTTTTATCGTCTGGATTATTTGAACGGCCAAGAATCAATGTTTCACATGGACTTCCAGTAACTGTAGCCAAACCTAATAATAATAATAATAATAATAATAATAAAAGAATTGGTGAGAATTAAATACGAATAAATAGATAGGTAAATAAAAAAATAATAATCAACCTTCACAACAGCGACCAGCAATAATTGCTTCATAACTACCATTTAATTTTGCTAAAGCCTTTTCAATTAATGGAACCTAAAATTTCTTTTCTTTTCTTTATTTTTCATTTCAAAAAAGAAGTAAACATTTACCCAAAGTTGTTTTCGATGTGCTTGCGAATAAGCTAATTTTTTATCGAATGTACACGGAAGTCGATCATCAACAAGAACTTGAGTCCATTCACCATCTCAATGTTAAAAATATAATTGACTACTTATCAATCAAAACTCTTTTTCTACCTTTACATAAACGTACACAATAAATTCCTTCAGAATTGAATTGCTTAGTAACAAGTACCTAATATTTCATAAACATGCATTTAATATAAATAAAAAAATAAGTTTAAATTTACTCTCATCAAATATTCAGGTTGTTCAGCAAGAACACTTAATGCTGTTATAAACCAACAATCGCCTAAAGCTCCTTGAAGTACATCATTTGGATTTGGATCACGAAACACTGCCCATGATTGTCGAACATTATCGATCCATTCTTGCGGAATTATTTTATCAGGTCTTAACCATTGAATATTATCGGCTGACAATGATGGTGATGAAGAGATGAAGGAAGAAGAGGATTTTAAATTAATTTGCTGTTGATCAGGTAAAAGAGTTAAGGTGAATTTTGAAAGAGACTTTCCATTAATATAAAGTGAATCAGATGAGGCTGGAAAATGTTTGTCTTTGAATCGATCCTGTGCGAACAAACACATTTGAACAAGTTTATCAACATGTTTTAAAGCAATATGCTCATCAGCTTCGTGCTTATGAGCTATAAGAACGCTACGTCGACGACCATTATCTTTTTCGAGGGAATTTTGATTTACCATTGAAATTCCTCGACTTTCATGATGATTCTTTGATGAAATACTATAAAAGCAACAAACAGACATAAGTTAGTTCCAATCAAAGTGAGTATTACTTGTCTACTCTCAGTAAATTATTTTGATTATCATTGTGTGTGCTAATTATATCGATATGATCCATACAAGGAATATAAACATTTATTTTATTTGAACCACATTCTGTACATAGAAGTGCATCACTTTCATTTATTGTATGACATAATTGACATTGCCATCGACGTTTTATACTAGTCGATCTAGCTTGTGGACTATTTTGATGTTCTTCTGGCTGAAATGGATCTGATGATTTTGATCGATGATGTTCTTCTTTTCGTGTAATTGATGAACGTAATATAGGTGTAGGTTGACGATGATGAAGAATATGGTCATTTTGTTGTGATTGGAAAAGAAATTCATTATCGAATGCACGAATAATCTGATTTAACGATGCTGCAGCATCTGGTAACGAAGTAGAAATACGATCAAGATTTGCTTGTGAAACTACAGAACCCATTTATCACTTGCTTTGCGTCTTCTATTTTTTTTCTTTTTCTTTATCTATCGAGCTGTCTGTCTGTCTCTCTCTCTTTTTGCTTTTCCTTGTCCAACCGAGTGTGATTACGAAAAAAAAATAAAGTGAATAACAACGATTGTCGCATTTAAACTACATCATACACATTTGTATTTTTATACGAGCGACATCAATTATTTCCTAATGTGATGTAGATGAGGTAGTGATGGATAAGAAAAAAGGAACAAAATAACGATATAGGTAGAAACAAAAATACGACACCGTATGAAGAAGAGAAAAAACAGAACGACAACGTGTCATTTCATATTCGTGATAATGTTGAAGAATAGGAAGGATATTTATTCAAATGACTTGTATATAGTGTTCAATTGAGTCACATATAGTACTTGTTCTTTTTTAATTTTCACTTTTGCTTTTTCAAAAGCTTGATTAAACACAATAATATTTTACTGAAATTATACAATTCTATGATATTTTAAAACGACAAGTTTTGCATTATATTCTATTAATAGCTTCTTTTGTTGTCATACGATTATTTACATACATCTTTCAGCCACAATGTGTGAAATTATATTTACAAACAAGAATTTATGTTTGTTTTTACTAGAGGTCAAATCCTTTCATTCATTAAAATCTTTTTTTTCTGAAAACGCGTATCTAATTATTTAGAAAACAACAACTTTGATAGCTGTAACTTAGTAAAATATATTTATTTTAATAAAAAACAAGTCACACTAGATAATCAATAAATAATATAAGAATTCTTATTTCGTTCTTCTCCTATACCTTCAGATTCGTCTGTTTTCTTTACTATATCGTAACAGTTCAAATTACACTCGATAGTAACTCAGTCAATGAATTCATTGATGTTGATGCCAGTCAAGTTATTAGAAAGGCAACTCGCGATCAATTCAATCTTATCTATCGTTGAACACCTAATGTTTCATTCGACGTTTTATTTCAACTCGCTATCCATCGATATTTCTTATGATTAAAAGCAACTGTGTTGATAACGTGTGAACAAATGTTTCGTCATCATTTATTATATTATTATCTAACCCATCAAGTGTTTTCTTCGATTTTATGATTATCAAAATTTTTTGATGCTTGAATATAAGATGGTTCACAATAAAAATCTCTTCTTCAAGAAGTATTGCATAATCAAGTTGCTTAGTAAGAATATCAGCATATTTTTCAATTCAATCAAATCTAATTTGATCAATTTTAGTCAGGAAATAGGAGTTGAAAACCACCAAAAGCAAGTGAATATACCTGTTATATCCTCTCATTAAAATACCTAAATGTTCTCTAGACATAACTCTTCATGAAATTCTTTTATGTGAAAATAAATATTTTGTTTTAAATTCTTGAAATCAATGTCATTGCTAGCAGTGACCTCTATAATTTCATACTGGGATTGATATATTCTTTTTAGTTATTATTTATTTTAGTTAGATAAGATAATAAATTCAATTGATCATTCTAAATTTGTTGTGTCTGCTTTAGTTATTATAATTAATAAAGCGCAATGGATGTCATTCATGATCGAGCAAATCAAAAATTCAAAATTGAACTTGATAAATCATCGTCTGAGAAAGGTTCTATTTTTCTTACTCAATGATCGTAAATAACTTTTCTTAAATTTTAGCTTATTTAACATATGAATTGCAAGGTAATGCAATCGACTTTCAACATACATTTGTTCCATCAAAATATCGTGGTCAAGGCATCGCCGAAAAGCTTGTCCAAGTAAAATTATATTCATCTAATTCAAATACGAAATAATATCTAGTTTATTTTTGCTGTCTTAGAGCGCCTTGGACTTTGTTGATAATGAAAGTTCAATAAAACAAATAATTCCATCATGCTCATATGTTTCTCATTTTCTAAAAACAAGAGCTCCTCAATATGCGCGTTATTTAATGAAATAAACTTTCAAGTTTTCTTTCTTTTAGATGACAACCATTCGTTTAAAACTTCCAGCAAATTTATACCGCCCATGGAAACCCCTTTATCATCAACGTTCGAAAAAGCAAAAAGATCCACCTGCACCATATACACCATTAGAACAACAAATATATGATCATGCGAAAATAAAATTTGATCAACGAGTTCATATTCTTCGATCAATATTTGCTCAAGAACGTCAATCATTATCAACTAAATCTCGTTTTGCTCAACTTCAACTTAAAGCTGAAGAACAAGAATTTAAACAATTAATAACTATGGTCAAGTAAGATTATTTTTCTTGTCAGTTACAAGAACCAATAAAGTGTTTTTCGATGATTTCGTTTGGTTCATCTAGATTAATCTCAATGGCATTCATAGTCTACTCACTTGAAAATCAAGAATTTTTTTAAAATTTTTATTTCACTCAATAATCCAAAATCGATAAGATTTTTTTATTTAGAACCTGAATTTTTTCTCATATACCCTGAAAAAAGTACAGATTACTCAGTAAAATTGAAAAATGTCCAGCTCAATCAAAGCTTTCTTAATCATGTATCCCTCGATTCTAAAAAGAGATTAAATCTAAACAGAGGTTTCTCTTACAGCTTGAAAAAGTGCACTAATGTAAGCAACGATCCCTTCTGTGATAAGATTGGTAAACAATAATAGTGAGAATATCTTTCATTGACTGAAGTCAAGTTTCTGATGGATATCAAACATTAGAAACGATTCAAATAGACTTTGAACTCTTCTTTTATTTTGCTAGATTAGTATGAGTCTGTTTCGACTATCAAACCCTTGTTTGGCATTCAATATTTATGTTATGTAAAGCTTTGTAAAATTTCTTATGTCAAGATCGTCAACATATCTTCGACTTTTATGAGTATTATTGAGTACTAGCCTTAAATTCAGTTTGGATCTTATCTAAATACTTTTTCATAGAAAAATGATCTAGATGTTGAACGTATTATAAAACTATGGTGATCTTAATTTATTTAGACGAAAAGACCTATGTAAGAAAATAGCAGAATTTTTCTCAAAGAAGATGACAGATTTGTTGGGCGCCAGAATTCTAACTCTATTTGAGACTTGTTAAACTTTTAGCATTTGATTATATCGTTCGATAATGACTGAAGTCTTCTCTAGTTTTTGGTCATGTTGTATAAAATTCGAGGATCTCTTTGAAATAGAGCTCTATCCAACAAAAATTTCGTAATAAACAAGATAAATACAACTGTACTATCGTAGCCACCTTGATCATTCCGTTGATATTTCATTTCAATTAATAAGAATGTATTTTAACAATTTTAGACAAGAAAATGAACGCTTACTGACAATGCGGCGTAGCGATGAACGTTTAGAACTAGAAGAAGAAGAACGTATTCGTTCTCGAGTTCTAAATATGTTATCTGAAAAACAATTTCGTGAACATCTTAATATTGAAGATGAAGTAAAACAAATCAAAAAAGAATCTCGTGCATGGGTTAATCCAAACGATTTATCACGTGAAATCGAACGAATGCTTAATGAAAAACATGATTATAGTTTTTCAATTGATTTAACTGGAATGAAGCGAACACAAACAGGAAAAGAAATTAGTGACGAAAATCAATCAAATTTAGTTACTATATCACCATTTGAACTAGAACCAAAGAATGTTTCAAGAAAACCTCCTGGTGCTTCTAAATACGAAGAATAAAGTTTTTCCTTTTTTGAATAAAAGACATTTTCTTGTTGTTAGATTTGTATTGAAAATGTTATTAAACTATTGGTTCTTTTTTAAGATAAAAAACGAGAATGTCTCATTCAGCATCTGGAAGTATCAATCGAATGAAATCGGTCAGTGAAGGGAAAAATAATAAACAGAAAGCTAGTGATAATCAAGAAAAAAGTATATATTTATTTTATTCCACCCTTTACTTTTTTTTCTTTTTAATATTTCTTTATTTAGATCATCAAAAAGAAGAAAATTCATCAAGTGACGACGATGATGAACCAAATCGTCCTCCGATTCAATTAAAAGTCGAAGTAAGACATTCGATTCGATAAAGTATTTATGTTTATTTGTCGTCAGTTTGTTAATTCCATTATGTTTCGTCAATGGGCATTGGCAAAAAAATTATGCCATTTTATGTTAATGTATGAACCAAATAATAATGAAGCTAAACAATATGCACCACTTATTGATTACATGTTGGAGAAAGAACAAAACCCATCATCATCATCTTCTGATGACGATGATGATGATGATATAAATGGTAAACAACCAAGAACAAAATATCGAGATAAAATTGTTTTATTTTTATTTAGATAATGATTCATCGGAAAGTAGTAGTAGTAGCTCAGATTCTTCATTAGATGAAGAAGAAAAACAGATTGATACTACTGAAGTCCAAACACCGAAACCAACCAATGCTTCAATGTCAAACAAATTTATACAACATAAATGATATGAAACTTTCGTCCATCTTTTTTTTAATCTTTATCTTTTTGCACTTATATTTTTATTTCCCAATGAATCTCATACAAATATTAAATAATATTCCAATGATTTCTATTCGAACATCTCATTGACTCAGTATTTGTACTATTGTTTGGTTAATCTTATATACTAAACAACAAATTTTGCAACATTTATCTGTTATAATTAAAATTAGAGTAGAATACTAAGCTACCGTTATTTTAGTTGGACCAGATCTTGCCCATCCTTTTTTCTTCTAATGCTTAGATATTTACAAATTGCAACGGAAAACGTTTTTCTACATTTTACTGAAAGCATTTTTAACTAATTCGAGTTGATACTAAAAATTTTAAAGTCATTTAGAATATGAAAACGACTATTAAGTGTGCTTAATTATTTATTAGTACTAGAAATGTAGAATTTACCTTTAAGCGCTAAAAAGAAACCATTCAGAGGCAATGTGGTTGAGTTTGAGGAAATTTTCGGAGAACAGCTATTTGTAGGCCATGGCATAAAAAGCATTTTTATATAGAGAATAAATTCGAAAAATCGCTAAAAAAAAGATTTTTTTCACATTGACTCAATCAATTTTATTTTTTGTGCTAATAGAAACAGAGAAGTTCTTATTATATTCAATATAAGCTCTTGAGAGTATCAATGGAAATCTTAATATATTTCAGAAACAATAATTTTACACTCACCAAATAATCCTCATATTTGAATCGATATAGTATATTGTTATGGGTACACGTAGTAAGCAGCTACAAATAACTGTCTGAACAATAATAATAGTGTGCCATCTTCTTTTCTACTAATGCTCATGTATGCTCTCTATTTTTCTCAGCGCTTCTAAAGTTCATAATATATAGATTTTCGATATTTGAAAAATTGTAAGCTATATTCATGTCATTTTTCTTTACTTTTTGGCATCGAGCGTAGGTATCCTTTTCATGTCCAGTCGATCCCACACATTCTATGCATGTGAAGAAAACTACCCAAATTAGGGAACCTGTCACATTAAGACGAATTTTTATATCAAATTCACGGATCTCTAACATTCACACATCTACTGAAGAAACACATGCAAATATCTTGATAGCTCTTCCTGATTTTCAGTCTGCCACTTTCACTATTTATTTTCGCTATTTGGACCAAGAATATAAGAACAGTATGAAATGGAATGAATCTAAACCATTTTCAACGAAATCAAGAATGTGTCATGCATTGATACTAACTGTGATTCTAGTTGAGAGTAGAAGTTTCGAAACAATACGTAAAAACCAGAAGGCAGTCTAGCCATTAGACAAGCTAGAATACATTTCTGGAAAATAATTCATACAAGGGATATGCCGAAGATACAAAAGACCAAATTATCTGTATTCCAATCATACCATTCTCTTAAATCATGAGCTGCTAGAGTGGAATTGACATAGAAGCGGTCTTAGTGTTGGTCATAAACATGAGCAATATATAAAATTCTTTGCTTTCTGTATTAGATACATCAATCGTATGGAATCAAATTAAATGCACTATTATGCGAATTCAAAGTTGTACGATCTACCCTCATGTACTCACGCCAGAATCATTGAAATATGAGTCAACATAATAAAACTAAACTAGATTCTCCCTATGTCAGACTTTAGACCTATTTCTACTATTTTCTTTCGTTTATTCAACTAGTTATCAACATCAGTTAAATAAACAGGGTTCAATGTCAAATCTCACCTTCTTCAAAGACTTCTCATACTGAATTTCAAATACAAATGACAAGATTTAGTGAACAAAAGTCAATTTTGTGTCTGATTTCAATCATTTCCCACTATTTTTCCTTTTACTTCAAAAAAGGTTCTTGTTACGAAAGTCGATGTATTAATAAAAGATTCAACTTTTGGCCTAGAATCTCTACTCATTTTTCTTGAGGGTTACATTATTTATCGTAAATAGTTCAGATTTATGAAGAGTTCAAAATTTCCGACGAGGATAAATATTATCCGTGAAATTTCAAATAATAGCTCATGTATGAAACTCAACTAAGTGATTAGAGCTATTTTAGGAATAAAAGAATTTTTGCAATACTCATTATCATTATCATGTTCATAATTAGTATCCTTGAATCCACAATTACATCTGGTTTTTGATTCATTAAAAACCAAGATTTTGTTTTTGACGATACTCATGAAGTACTCCACTCCCTAACATTATGAATATCATTTAATTAAAGAACAGAATGGAAAAAAGTGATCAAGAATGATTACTCATTTGTACTTGATAGAAACAATTCATCTTTGAAGGGGACTACAAAATAGCTTTATCCTTTCTTCTACTTTCTATAGTTGTCACAGTTCATATTCAAATTCAAATACAAAAGGTTATAGTTAGCTGCGACTATTTCTATCGCACAAAAGTAGCCGAATTATAAGACAAGCAGTAATAGCAAATACTTTATCGACAAATGATCATGCTTACCGATATTCACACGTACCGTATAGAGTATCGTATTGATGGGTTACATGAATTTCGGCCCAAGGAATTTTCGGGCCGGACTTTTGGCCTCAAATGAAATTTTTTTTATCATAAAACTGGGTTATTCTCATCCTCGTCTTCATTTCATACTGGGCCGAAAGTCCGGTCCGAAAATTCCTTGGGCCGAAATTCCGGGCTCCCTTAAATCCATCAAAGATGAAAGAAAACCGTTTTTACTTAACTAATTCTTCAACTTGCCAAGGGAACCAATTCTAAAGCGTTGTTTTCTTGAATCTTCATCATATATGCGTGAAGACAAAGTTTTAAGCAATTATTTGTCAGAAGTTAATTGCCACACTTGAAATAGATTCAAATGAATTTGTCGGAGCATACTCAATTCTACAGGATTCTAACAGTCCGATCTTTCATCTTGAAATACTTACTACCAGATGGCAACCTTACGAATCTTCGTATAAGGATTCATTCCCCAGCCACGTTAAATAAAATTAATTATGGTTTACATTAGAATGAATAACAATAGTAGATAATACTTATCGAATACATACAGATGAGATATAACAATTTAACGATAAAAAATATTTAAAAAATATATAATTCTCTAGCTGAATGTTTATTTTTAAAGAAAATAACAAAAAACTTAATTGTTCATTTGATTTCTTTTGCAATTTTTCCCACTGCATTTATTGGAATTTTTATGTATTATCTCACCGCATTCTTCACAAGCCTATAACAAGACAAAAAATCATTTATCGCTTATATGTTAAATAGTTTGAAAAAATAAAATTCATTTAGTCTCGCAACGAATAAACAAAGATGCTCTTTAAATTTACAAAGAGTTACGCATGTGTTTGGATCGGTTTAAGTTTGCACTTATGTACTTTTTCTGCATGATATTCACGTAGATGGATGAGGCATCCAAATAATGTTGAAAAGAGTCTATTGAACTCAATCAGTTCGCTTTAATAATACGTAACCAACGTTTTTATTCTCGAAATATTATGTACTTCGGTGCTAAATTCTCTTGCGATGGTGCAATATATACTTATATTCGCTAATTTTAACTTTTAATCGCAGAGGAATATATGGACTGATTTTTTAATAGTTTCACCTCTAACAACTTCTTTCAAAAGGTTCATCAAATTTTAGAAATGTTTAAGTGCTTTCAAGACGAAACTTCCATTTAAACGTTTGACGAATAAAATAGAAGGAAACGATTTACTTTAACCCTTTCTAGCCGGATGTTGCCATTTGGCAACATTGAGTTAACATTTCGTGCAGGGCTGATCTGTACTCATCATATTTAATTTTTTAGCACATTGATAATTACGCCAATACATTTCTGAGTAAATCCATAAACGTACAAGATAAATATAACCTTTCACTGAATACAGGGAGGGCTCGGTTTGGGATCCCCCCAAAAAGGGTCGGAATAGAAATTCTGCGTTTTTTTCGTGTCTTAACTATCAATCGAAGAAACAATTAGCGATTAATTTTCTCCTATGGATGTATGATCTATTGAGTTACTCAGATGGATTAAGCAGTGAATTCGAAAAATTGACATGTTGGGATTTTGCTTGTAGGCCACACTCGACCGTTCGGTAACGTGTAGCTTTTTTTTTGTACCAACGACCACACTTTTAGCATCTCCCTGATAACAGAACTAAGAATTCGCCCATAAAGATTTGTTTTCTACCGGTCTTCTAGTAGCCGGCCGGAAAGGGTTAAACATGCTTCTTAAATTTTCCATATGTTCGTTGTTGGGCATGAACATCTGTTGAGGATACGAATTGTAATTGTTCGGTTGGTTTGCTTGTTGCATAGGAGGTGTAGCTACACCATATTGAAATGCATTCGATCCCATCGGATTTGCCGGAATATAAATACTATTGGGAATGTTTGTATTTATAGTTGGATTGGCGTTGATGTTTATTATTGGCTGTTGTTGATTAAACTATAATTAAAAAAAAACAAGGATATATGCTCTTTTTACACAAATTGAGAACAGTCAAAGTCAATCAATTGCAATAGTTTTTGTTTCTTTGTTTGAAAAATCGGCGGCACACGACTAGATTCTACGTTAATATAAAAATACTAAAGATAAATAAAGAAAAAAAACTGTTTTTCTTTTAAAATTATAAAACAGATGGTATTGTTTCAATCTTAATTTTAACTGCATTGTGTGTTGTTGAGATAACTCCGAAGTGACATTCATTTTGATTAACATTAACGAACTGTAATTCTTACTAAATATACCGAACAAAGTTAATGCCAGTTAAATAACAGGACGACTATACATATATGGATATCAAAACTCATTAGGAATTCTTATTTATTTTTAATGAATTCTAACTTAAGTTAAAAAAAAACTTCCTACAACATTTATGACAAAACATTGCTTTGAGTTAGATTCACGAAAAAAATGAGAACTATTGCGTAGACGTAGACCCTCTTATTATGGATGTTTTTATAATGTACTTATTTCATGTTTACTTAACATGTGTTAGCAGATTCATAGAACTTCGATAGAGCCCCCGCAAAAATATAAATGTAACTATCAGTCAACCGTACCTCAGACGCTCTTCAACGAGATCCACCAATTACGAAGATTGACTTCAATTAAGAACAAGTTGGTTTATATGACTAGTATACACCATAGTAACGTCACTTTTCTTTTCATTCATACCTCAAACTTTTCAGAAATTGTATCCGGATTGAAAAATATAGCATTAATTTAATGCTATATAGATTAATAGAGAAAACAATGAAAAATAAATAAATTTCTCACCGTGATATGAATGTGGAAGTTCATTCTTTTAGGAGAATATTAGGCACGACTAAATGTGAAACGAATATTGTTGAGCACATAAATATATATATGACCTATATTTTTATCTTTTTCTTTTCTTCACGCATGCACGAAGGTGCCTAGACGACGCATTGAAAAGAAAAAATATATATTGTGCCGAAATAATGAGTGATGTCATAATATCCTTACACCCAGTAACGACTTATTATCACAAACGCGCTACAGTATCCACATTAGGTGCATCCGCTTTTGGGTATCCGAATTTGGGTATTCACTTTTGAGTATCCATATTTATAGATACACATTTATATATATGTATATGTTTTGAAAAGCTGAGGAATTTGAGTTGTTTTGGTGTATCTACTTTTGGATATCCACTTTTGGGTATCCACATTTATATATATATATATACATAAAAGTGGATACCCAAAAGTGGATACGCTTAATGTGGTTACATCAGATTGTAGATGCACTAAGAATGGATACTCCATAAACTATTGCTGCATAGGGTATTGTGACGTAAAACTCTCGATACCCAGTGTAAAGGTATTATGACATCTATGGTTTTTTTTTGATGAGAAAAAGAAACCGTGATTGTTTGATCTGGAGGGTGTTGGTCTTCATGTTCTATTTCATAAATAGCACCCGTACATCCACACCCTTTATCCATGATTGCACTCGTTCATTTTATTTTATTCGATCATTGCCTCTACTAAGTTAGAGAGTAAAATAGTATTAAAGTCAACTGGGAACAGCGGATGCAATATCAATCGAAAACAATGGTAAACGGTTGGATTTTTATTCGCTGATAATGATCCTAAAGATTCCTTTTTCAATTACACATTTTCTCGGTCGAGTATAATTGAATTTATGTATCATTGCATTTGAACAGTTTCAATGAGCTAAATATTTATAGTTGAAAATACTTCAGCCTCTATCGGCTTGCTCTGAAATAGAATTCCCACCCAAACCCTAGATATTATGTCCTGACACTCGATCGATGAATATATTTTGAGAATACAATGCGAAATCAAATCACTGTATTGACAAATAAAGTCTAATTATTTATTTACAGTTTACCACTCGATTGTGTCTATTCTAGTGCCAAACGAATAAAAAATACATGCTAGCCGTACATTAAAAAGAAAATAATCTAATTTGCTTTTGTTCCACGACCAATATAATCTAACATAGCTGTACGTAAAAAATGCAGTCGTCTCTCTTCATCATGTTTCAATCGACTAACTTCTTGTTCTCGTTGATTTAATTTTGTTTGTATATCGGCTAAACGTGTTTCAAGTTCACGTATTGTATTTCGATCATTAAAACGTTGATCTATTGATGAAAAATAATATATTTCTAATAGAGTTAAAGTGTAATTACCTTTCAAATCATTTTCTAATTGTTTTATACGATCTTTTAGTTCTGTATTAATGTCAATATCTTTTTGAATCAAACGTAATCTTTTTTCAAAATCAGTTTTAAGTTTTTCGCGACTTTCAAGGATTTCTGTATCTTTACTAAGATTAGACTATGAAAAGAATAATTAATGATAAAAATAATTAATTTCACCAAGAATAAAATTTACCGTTTGAACTGATTCTATTTGTCGTTTCAACGTTTCAATTTCAACTAGTTGAAAATTAATTTTTTGTTGAAACTCTCGATTACATAACAGCTGTTGACCATATCGAGACTATAAACAGAAGAATATTCAACTATCGAATAGTTATATGTTTACTTCGAGATCTTCTCTTGTTGTTATCAATGAACTTATACGATCTTGAAGTTCATGCTGTTTTTTTTCTTCTTCATTTTTCAAGCGTAATTTCTCTTGTTGGAAGTTTTCTTCATAATTTAACTTTTGCGTTGATATAGTTGATTTTAAAGAATTTACTTCCTTTTTTAATACCAAACAAGATAATGCATTGAAGTTATCAATAGAAAATATTCTTACTCGTTCTAATGCTGTTCGAAAATTTTCAAGTTTTGTTACTTGTTCTTTTAGATTTTGTTCTCTCGTTTCATAGGATTCTTTTAAACGTTGACTTTCTCGCGTACTCATGAGTTCATGATCTTTTAAATCTTCTTTATGCTTCAATTTTAGACGTTGATTTTCATCATCTAACGATGCAATTTTCAAATGATGATCACGATCATTGATTGTTATCTATAGGGTAGATGATAGTTTGAGAAATAATTGAAATAGTTAATAAAGAACGTACAGCCTCTCGAAGTTCATGAACTGTTGTTTGCAATGTTTCATTTTTTCGTTCAAGATCATGAACTTTTTCGCTTAGGCGCCGTTGTGTTTCTAAACTTTCATTCAAGTCTCGTTGAAGTTTCTCTTGAATATTGAATAATCCCTAATGAAGAAAAAGAATATTACTTTTTACTCAAGTTTGATTATTTACATCTTTTTCTTGTTGATAGTCTCGTTGAGTTTGATGTAACAATTGATCTTTTTCAATTTTCAACTTTTTGATATCATGTTGTGCATCATTGTATTGTTGTGTTGCAACCGTTATATCTGCTTCGAGTAATGCATTTTTTGCTGATACAGCATTAAATGCTAATTTGTGATCAGTTAATGCATCTTGTAATTTTTTAACTTTGTCAGCTAAAGATCTATTAAGAAAAAACAAAACACATTATTTTTTTCTAATAGAAACCAAATTTCTCTCGATTCATTTACTTATTTGCTTTGAGCATGGCTTGTTCTTGTATTGATACACGCTGAAGTACACTTGTGATTTGTCGATCTTTTTCTGTATGAACATTTTGTAGTTGTCTTGCAATGACAGCCATATTTTTCGAATGTCCAAAATGCACCTGACGTTTTTCAGTATTTTTTGCTAATGCATTATCTAAATTTTAGAATACGAAGTCAAATCAATGTTTGGTTCGAAGAAGTAAAACAAACAAGCATTACTTACTGATATTTTGCATGATATCATCGGGTACATTATTACCAGTTAATTGTATTTCATTCAGAGTTGAATTTGATTGACATACAGCTAATAAAGCTCGTCCACCCACTGGTCCAATGTTATTCCAACGAAGATCTAAGATACGCAATGTCACATTTCGTTTTAATACCGCTGCTAATTCAGATCCACCAACATGACTAATATCATTGTTACGTAAATCGAGTTCAATTAAACTTTTATTCATACTAATAGCATCGCAAAAACTACTAAAAGCTGGAGAATCCATTGCACCGATTTGATTCCATTCAAGTCGTAAACTATAAAAAATATAACAAAGAATTATATTACGGAAGGCATCATTTAGAAAATAGATCTAATAATCTGAAAAAATGATCAATAGTCATTCGTTTTTATTTGATTCTTTGGCAACGGCTCGTGTCGGAGGTTCAGAACATGGATTATGATTCAGTATTCGACTAAACATTTTGCAAGATACACCCAACTCGACTCGATATCAAACATTTGTATTCATCATAGTTCTACTCACTTTTGTAACGTTTGATTTCTTCGTAGAACTTGTGCTAATGCTTCTGTACCAGCTCCATGAATACGATTTCCCTGTTGAAATTTAAAAAAAAAAATTTTTTATATTAAAAGATATTATCTCTGGCAATGTACCTTTAATTCCAATGTTTTGCATGTTGTATTCGTCACTAGTCCATGAAGAAAAGCTTGTAGAGCTTGTTTAAAAAAACACTCAATAAAAGTAATGTATGATTTCGAAAATTTGTTTACCTTCATTTGATAAATTACAATCATTAAGATGAATACTGGTAAATAAAAAGTCACGTGAAAAAATTTTTCCTAATACTGTATATTGTGCTTCTGGAATGCTTAATGAAGATAGATTAAATGTTTTTGTTTGATGATCGCCGTGTGATGCCCTTAGAGAAGAAAAAGAAATAATTTAATAGTTTTTTTCAAAAACCTAACTGTTTTTCTCTTTACTTTTCAATTTCTCCTACAACCGTTTCGTTGGGTTCAACATGATAAGTTGCACAACACTCATGATAAAGTGTGATTAGTTGATCCATTTCTTAATCTGTAAAATAAAATCGAAAATTCTTTATACCAGACTCTTAATTTACCATTAGCATATTCATTTTTCTCGCCGTAACATTGCAACCGTTTTTCTTTTTCATCCAATAGATGTCTCTCAACAATTAAATATGCGCACTATTCGAAAAACTATACTATATATGCGATTCACTTTTCGAATTTTCTTCTTAACATAATCATGACATCCGTCTTCAACGACTTACCAATTGAAATAATCCGACTTATATTCGAATATTTTACACCAGCCGATATTGTAAGAAAATAATTTTGTTGATTTTAAAGTAGAAAATTAACTTTCTAATCTATACATTTTAGGTTTATACGTTTGCATCTATTAATTCTAAAATGGAAGCAATTGCCTCGAAACATATCATTGATAATTCAAATAGTTTAATATTAAATTTTTTTCGAACTAAATAAACTTATTTTTTTTGTTCTATGTTGATAATTATATGAAATAAATAAAAACAGCGAAAATTTGATTTCTTTTTCTTTTTCCTTTTCTAGATTATGTTTTTAAACATCGACTATGCTAAACGGGTTTGTATAGAATTCTTTTTTTTGATCTTCAAATGTAATTTATTTTCTTCAAAACTGAAGGCTGCTGCTCGTGAAAAAGCTTTAACGAAGGCCCAATCTTTTGATATAATAACACTTGACGACGATGATGATGACATTGATTATGAACAATTATTTGATGATCATGATATCACAAATGATGGCTCTAAATCAGAAGTAAAAAAGCCTATTAAACGTGTTCGTTTTGCTCCAATGATGATTCAAGAAAGTTCTCCAGCACCCTGTTTATCTCGTCCACCATCTCTGAGGCCAACATTTGATGTTGAATTTGATTTTGATTCACTTGCATCACCAGTTAACGAATCGAATAAAAATGATGATAATATGAATTGGAAAAATGCTTTTCTAAGTGATTTACATGTAGCAAAAAATAATACGACAACGATAATTTCTTCACCATCAATTATACAAGTTGATACTAAACCAGACGAAGCGACATTGTGGGATTATATGAAAGAATCAAATCCGGAATTATTTGAAAAACTTGAAAAAACATGTACTGATAAACAAAAACATATTGATCGATTTTCTGCGCAACAATCAACATTGATGAGTACAACCAATATTAAAGTTACAAAATCGAGCACGGAATTGAATTCTGAAGGTATTCAAATGGAATCTATCGATTTTTGAGAATTATCTGCAGAGCAATCTTACTACATTCAAACGATACAAACATATATTGTTCAACTTTCGAGAGAATTGTTTTAGAATAACTTAGTATTGTTAAATACTTTATAGATGTATGAATGAGAACATTTTTTGACGTAAGGACAACAAGTTATAGACCTACAGGCAAGTTTAATTAGATAACAGAAATGTAGCATTTAGTCAAATCTTCTTGTAAACATGCAAATGTGAAAATGAAAATTACCTCATTATTCAGAACTATCTCAAATTATTCAATAATATCCAGCTGACAGGAGTTTTATGTAGTCGAGTATTTTTTTACGAAAATATCTATTAGAAAAAAATGAACATTATTTTTGAATATATTTTTAGTTCCAGTGCCAAAGTCTATACCATTACCCGAACAAACAAATGTCTCCATAATCGAAATTCGACTAGAAAATGGTACTTATTTGATTCGTCTTTGTTTCTAATTATTTCTTCTTTCAATTTCTTTAGGTGAATTCAACCAAATTCATGAAGAACTTCTTCATTTCTTACTACCCTATCATAAAATTCTATGTAAAGAAAATATTTGGCCACAACAACAAAGTTTTACATCACCTAATATATCTTTTCAATTAATAAAAGATATTTGTGAAAACAAAAAATCTTTTAATACGAATTCAAATCGTAGCGATATTCTCAAATATTTAATGTTTATTTATACCATAACATCCTTTCTTTATGTATTTGCCTATTGTTCATTACAAACAGCAATACGTCATGTTGAAAATATCATTGTACAAAATATGAAACATGTTTGCATTGGTTTGTTTCAATAAAAATTTTCTGTAGCAAAATTTCTTAGCCTTTTCTCTAAATTTAGATCAAGAATGTGGTAAACCTTTATTTGATTTATTAACAAAAACTCATCAAAATTTTGAAAATATTCTTCACCCAAAAATTTTACATATTAAACAAATTTTTATTGATTTTTTCGAGAAAAGACGACGACTTATTGGTACTCTACGACAATTATGTGAACCAAAAGTAAAAGCTATAATCTCTTCAAACAGGATGTGGGCAGAGTAAACTAATTATTCTCGTACCTACGTCGTCTCTAGACATATACTTTAATTTCTGTAGAAAAAAATAATGAAACTTATTGCAACAGAGAGGAGTTGTAGCAGCTAACCCGAAGTATATTATTGGCAATAGGATATTCTCTTTCGTAGTTTCTTCTTCTTGTTCAATACGAATCAATTGAATTACTACATGATATTGAGCGTGGTCTGTCGTCAATTATTGAACTTCGTTCTTACATCTATGACAAGCCAACTAATATCAATCGAGATGAATTTAATGATCTGTAAGTTGTTCTTGTTGATATAGTGTCAGTAAATTTATTATCATAAACAAGATTAATGTATAATAATATGATTATTATTCGTACACGTCAAATATCATCCACGATAATAACTCGACCAAAACGATTAACATTAGTTATTGAATATGAATATGGAGAACAAATGCCGCATTGGCATCGATTTTGTCAACAACAATGTATTTCTTATCTTGCTTATAAAACTATTTTACCATCATTTATACCTCCAGGTTAATCGAAGTTTTCATTTTTATAAATACTTATTCTTAATAGAATTTTTCTTTAGAACAAGAATCAATTCATTCTATTGAGAAAATATCTTCTCCAATAGTCAAAGACGAACCATCAATTTTACCAACAATTATTTTAGCTCGACCATTGGTTGATAATTTTAAATTATTACGAACACTTGAATGTCGGTATGAGAGTCGAGTTAATAAAATAATTGATTCGAGAATTTCATTTTTCAGACATGATATATCGATTATTACACGAGATTATCATTTACTTGACGTTCCCATTGATCAGCAACCAGATATTTTAATCGATTGGACTACTTCTATGTTAATCTTTGATTTAAACATAAAACTTGATATTAATTTAGTACGACATAAAGTAAGTCCACGGTCCCAAGACTCTTCGATTTCGTATTGGCATATCTCAAATACTTAGAAGAGTGATTCTCACGAATAGACGAATAACGATAAGCATGTTTTTAATGAATACCATTTAACAAGATATAGTTATGTTGAAATGTTTTTGCGTGTAAACAGAAAAAAGATTTTGCTGAAAATTAAATGTCAATATGACTGAGCCTACTGAATAAAATATTATGATTATAATTCTACATCTGAACTAGTCCTGCTATTTTCATTCGTGATAAAACCTCAACTACAAATCTATCATTCTGTTCAATTATTAGATTCAATCCATGACTTTACATTCATGTCGTATCCACATAGCTATTCTGACTAGTGGGTATGTTTGATTAAATATTCTTTTCTTATGACATAACATTTAGTTGTTAAAGATCAACGCCAGACTTTATTCTTTCAACTTATATTACGCCAATCAATCAATTAGCAAAGCAAATTCAACAACGTGAAGCTAATATTAATATTCAAGTATTAGTTGAACGATCGATCTGATAATTATTTTCGATTTCTATTTATTAGATTAAATCATTTAGTAGTCTCGATGAATTTGCTAATTATGTAGCTCAACTAGTACAACAAGGATCTACATTGCAATGTTTGTTGACTCCAACACCCTCATGGGTAAAAATTGAAAATTAAACTTGAAAATTGTTTATCTTGAGATAAATTCTAGAATGAAAAAATGTTACTTCGTCGATGTTCATCTCTCAATAGTATTAGGTTAAGATTTCTTTTGTTATATGTGTTTTCTTTTCATTTAGTGATCTAATTTAGTGCACAATTGATTTTACAACGTTTAAGAAATGTCGATCTGTCGACAGTAAGTCTTGAAATATTAATGAACCAATGTCCAGAGATACCTAAAACCTATTTGAAGGTAAATCATTTTCTTTAGTTTCAAAATATGCTTTTATTTTATTGTTTTATTTTTAGGAGTTCTTGTCAGATATGCACAAAAGCACTTGAAATATTTAATTGTAAATATTGATCTTGTGATTTTATAAAAAAAATATTTAAAATTAGATAAATAAATAAATAAATTTTTTGACCCAGAAAGCACAAACTTGCATACTTGATTTCAAACATAACTACATGATACATTGTTTCCTATCGAAGTGTACATAGAATGATAATCTCAGTTTGATATTTTATTTTTTTAGTTGTAAGCGCGATTCACGACGAACTGTGTGTTTAAATAGAATAAAGTAGAAACAAGATATTAACAAATAGATCTAGTTTTTGGTTTCAATTTATACAAAAGTACAGGAGGAAGTGAGTAAAGAAAAACTCTCAATCCGGTATTTCATGCGTTTCAATATCATTCTTGAAATAGATAAATGTGATAGACAGAATTAATATCCGATACATAATATATAGTTACCCATTATTGTTCTCTAAAATGGTTGTATGATTTTTAAATTCTTGATGAAGGTAAAAAGTCAATTAGAAGAAAATATACTAGTTGCTCATCATGCAAAGTAAAAGAATATAATATGTGAGAACTTTTTTTTTGGGGAGGCTAGTAGATATGCTTTAGTCATTCAGAAATGCAACATTAACTTACAGGACGATGATATTGCTACAGATTTTCGAGGACTTGCAGATATTCATCTAATACGTTTGTCAATTTTGTAAATAATTCATGTTAAGTATCTACTATCCACCAACGATATCACTGACCATTCGTAATGATTAATCATTTTGGTATCTCACTTCAAAATAACAACCCGCACCCATCAAAATCATCAAGACATATGTTTTTGTGTACTCAAAAAGTGAGTATACTCTAGAATCGGTCAGTGTGTCCAGCCGGCCGTAGGCGCGATAACTTTGGAAAGGAGAGTCAGACTGTGATGAAATTTTCCACACAGTTCAATCTCATGAATATCTCGGTCGAGTTTGAAGATGAGAGGAATCCTTCAAGAAATGGTTGTTATCGAAAAAATTGTCATTTTCGACCAGACCATCCCTGAGGAGGAGTACAGGGATTTTTTTTCAAAAAACAAATTTTTCTCAGAATTATTCACAACATATATAAATCGACTCAGCTTTTAACGCTGATTCCGAATCTGACATTAGTTTTGAACTAAGCCGTAGCTTTCTAACGAAACATCGCCTGAAAAACGTCTAAAAATGCGCAAAAACTGCATCCAGAAATCAAATTGACTAGTTTCTCATGATAATTTTGGTGTTCAGACATTCTAGAATGACTAATATGTCCCATGTACTTTTTGCAGTACACATAACTCTCGGATGAAATCCGAAGTTTCCACATTTATTTAATGATATGATAAAATTTCAAACTATTTTCTACATATCCGTAATTGTGACATTACTCTGTATGTGTAGATGTTATTATAATTAAAATTATTATACTTTCAAGGTGAAATTCACTAGCCCGAAAGATCTTCAACAATACTATTGATAGAAGTAAGAAGAGAACGAGAAATTCCACGTCTGTGGAACGTGAGATATGAGAAAAAAGAATTTTCTTTTATAAATTCGTTAACTGATATTCTATCTTCGCATATAGCCAATCGAGTAACCTGTCAAAGGACCACGAGACATGTAGGAAAGAGAAAAGAATTTTTTTTTCGGTGTTCTGCAATATTTATCGTCATGATTGTAGTCTACACAATTCCTTTTAAAAAAGTATCCGTCGTTTTTTTCTCATTCTTTCCAAGAACGCAAAATGAGAATGATAAATAAGAAAGACTCTTGCTAGTTTAATAGATCAAATGTCGGTGAGTAGATATGTCTGAAAATAGTATTTCAAAAAGCGAAACGATTTTTTTTCTTATTTTCGTAGCAAAATCAACAAGCTTTATCCAATCGTGAATTGAAAGGTGATCAGCTAACTAGGAGATTTAAGATTAGTAAATTGCTTTTTTTATCCGTTTTTAAATTTCTAGAATTACGCGATGCCTTTGATCTATTTGATCGCGATCAAAGTGGAACTATATCGTCTTCGGAATTAAAACAAATATTAATTGCTTTAAATTTTCATCCAACAGATAGTTTGCTTCGAAAAATAATGAAAGAAATGGATACAGATGGAAATGGTTCAAGTAAATTTTCTATTTGAATATTTGCTCTCGTGATCTATTGAGTGTTGTGTTTAGTTGAATTCGATGAATTCGTTAAAGTGATGAGACACGTTTATCAACGAGCATATACTGATCAGGAAATGCGACAAGCGTTTAAATGTTTCGATACAGATAATTCAGGTAAAAGAATTTTAAGAGAAATATTTAGTGTTTTTTTAGATCGTTATGTTGTATAGGTTATATTACTGCAAGTGAATTACATGACGTTTTTAGACGCCTAAATCGTGATATTAGTGAACATCGGATGAGTGAAGTTTTAAGCGAAGTTGACATGGATAATGATGGTAAAATAAGCTATGAAGAATTTGTACATATTGTACAACGGACATAAAACGTATTTTTTCTTTTTGTTGCTTTTGATTTATCTTTGTCTTATGTAAAAAAATCCATTGTTCATTTAAAAATAAATGTCAAAGAGAAAAAACACCATCAAATGCGCTAACAGAAATTACATATGATTAATAATAAGTCAATTGTATTAATCAAATATCAAGAAACATGGCGTGACAAATACTATTTTATGATGTTTTTTACGGCATAATTCAAGTACTATCATTGATTTTATTAGAGTTTCTGCTTTGTTTTTCATATCATCACAACTATTTTATGTTGTCTATGAAATCATGAATCAATATTAAAAAAATGAACCAATCGACTGAATCTGATGGATGCTAAAGAAAAAAAAATACGTTAAAAATCTTTTAAGATGTTTGCTACAGATTGCAATCAATGGCTTTTTATGCAAAAGATAAGGGTTTTGATAGCGAACGAAAAACGATTTTACTCAATGTATTTGATCACACGGATCATAGAGTACATAGTACGAGCGATATTATGATTTTGAAATAAATCATTGAAATACATGTGACAGATCGTTTCTTTCGAAAAGCAAAATTTGAGCAATATCTATCATAAAAATGCTAATATATTCTCAATGTTTCATATGCTTTTTGAATATTAAAAATTACATATGCATGGCCGAGACAATTGACTGATAGGCATCTAATAAATTAAGTGAAAATTACAAACATTCATTTTTTTAAGTATCCACAAAAATTAAGACTACGTCGGAGGACAATGCTTTTATTTATAGCTATCAATAACGAATCCATACAGATGACTGAATCCAAGAAAGAAAAATGTCAATGTACTTTTTCATGGTTCTAGCAGAACGCAAGAAAATGTCATGATTGAAAGTGGTAAATCACCATGAAGAACTCGTTTCTATTAAAATTTTGTAGAACGAAATCTGTATATTCAAAATTTCCTACAATTGAACAGAAAGCAAAGTCAAACTGTTTACACATTGAAGTTAAATTCTAGTTTTTCTTTTATTCTCATTTTGAAAAATCATACCGATTTAATTTAGTTTATCAGAGCAAAATAATAAAACATATATTTATTTACTCAATTCGATATTTATCGATTTTTACAACAACAAACAACAAAAATCAAATCGTTGGGGAGGGGGGGGGGTG